CTAGGGCCTGGCCAACACCTCAGCCTGCCCCCACTCTTCCCCGGCTCATGCAATCGCTGGGCCAGGGAGCTCATTGGCTGACAACCAAGGGCCTGTGTCCAGTTTCGAACCCCTCTGGCATTTGCTTTACCCGCTCCCTGCCCCCAAACTCCCAGCTGGCCCAGGAGGCTCAGGCTAACGGAGGTTCTGGAAGAGCAGCAGGGAGCAGATCTGGGAATTGTCAGGGAGAAGGGACCCAGCTCTCGACTCACAGGGGAATTGCTGCTGTTGGGCGGGTCATTATCTGCCTGTCGCTTTCCCCATCCCCATGGTGTCCTCAGCTACTGCCATGCCTGGGCCGTCAGCAAAGAAAAGGCTTGGCCAGCCTCTGCTAGGCTGGGGTGAGGGTCACTGGGCACAGCCTCTGTCCCGGGACATAGAGGAGCTGAGCCAGGGTGAGCTAATTGTCCCTCCTGGCCATACCCCGTTGAAAGCCCCCTTCCTGGTTGGAGCTCCAGACCCTGCCCTGAGACCATGAGGGGCTGGGAGCCACTGGGAAGGTAAATCGCTTGGGGTCAGAGCTGTGGTGCTCTCTGCTTCGCACGGCCTGTGCCCTGGGAGTGGGCCAGGCTGGGCGTGGACAAGACCCTGACACCATGTGGCACACTGGCCTGGGTCACAGGCGGGTGGGGTACGAAAGGATCAGCTGGGAGACCTTGGTGCCCTGCTCAGATCCCACACAGCCGTGTTCATCTTCCCGGCACTGTGCTGAGCAGGGCACGGCGGGGACAGACAGACAGATGGACAGACATTTGGACTCACCGGGAGCTGAGCAGATCTCCTGGCTGCTGGGGCTCAGCGCTGGGAACAGAAAGGGGACGTGGGGTCAGTGCCGGGCTGGAATCTCCCTGTGGAGAGACGCCCTGAGCAGCTGGTGGGGTCTCGGCTCCCCTCATGACCATAATCCTGGTTTCTGCCCTGCCCATCCCACCTGGGGAACCCCAAGGCTGGGCCAGGCTCTGCAGAGCCCAAGCTCCCCTCTGTGCCAGGGACTCCTATGGGGGCAGATTGCTGGGTTCCCATGGCCCAGGAGATCAACCCTGAGCTCCTCTGCACAGGGCTCTGCTGAGAGCCCCGCAGTGACTAAGTTCATCCCCCTCCCTGTCAGCTGAGCCCAGCCCCTCACCTCCCCAGCAGAGCATCAGAGAACTCGCTACAGAGAGAGGGACAGGACCCAGAGCTGATAGGGAGCATCTGAGCCCAGCCCGGCCTGACCCCATGGGCCTGGCATGGGGAGCTGGGCCCAGTGACACCCCAGGGCTGGGATCCAGCCAAGTGCCAGGTCCCAGCTCCCCAGGGAACGCCGCCGCCCTGCAGCCTGGGGCCTGGGCAGGGAAGCAGGGACCCGGGGAAAGATTTAAGCCCCAGGGGACAGTAACTGGCCATGAGCTCCCACGGCACCGTAGGGCAGCCGGGCTGATGGGCCCCTGGGCTGTGTAACGAGGGGGCAGGGAGCAGGCACCGGGGGGGAGGGAGGACCCAGCCTGAGGCCTTGGGGAGGCCGATCCTGGATCATGCGCCCGGCTCTGGCCCCGTTTCAAAGGCTGCTGGCAAAGTGCAGCGGGGGCAGGGCAGGACCCTCTGCTGCTAGAGGGGATTTGCCGACTCCCTGGGCTTCCTTGGTTCCATTTTCTCCCACCCCCTGCGAGTTAGCCCAGGCTCTCACACACTCACCGAGCAGCAAGAGGAACAGAGACAGGAGCATCGGGGCTGCGGCAGGAACCGAGAGGGTGGAAATGGCCAAACGACGTCGGCTTCTGACGAGACCAGGAAGGGACAATCTGCAGTCGCTGTCTGCTCCGACCTGCCCCCCGCTGCCCCTCTGGGCTCACAGCAGAAAGCCCCCCTCCCCGTGCAGAGTCTCTGCCAGCCCCTCAGGGCTGGGCTGGGAACCCAGATGCTGTCGCTGCTCTGATCCTCGTCAGGGCGTACGGTGAGGGAGCAGAGATGCCGCGGCCCTTCTGCTCTGCCCCATCCTCTCCTCGTGTCTGATCGTCACTGTTCTTCATTTCCTGTCCTCTACATACCCCACCACCACCCACATCTTTATTTAGCGCCGGAAGCCTGAGAATCAAACACGTGTACCGACTGCTGGCCCCAGCCCTGACCTAAGTGCTGGCCTTGTGCTAGGTTGGGACAGTCCCACTCCTCCAGCAGTGCCTCCCTCTGCCTCTCTTGGTTCTGTATCTTCCCAGCCCCCTGTGAGTTACCACAGGGATCCCAGATACTCACCAGGCAGCAAAAGGCAGAGAGACAGGAGCATTTGGGGCTGGGGAAGCAACCGATCCAAGTGATAACAGCCCAGCGGCTTCTGGTCTTGATGGTGTTGGGAGGGGACAATCCAAGGTCACGCCCTGCTCTGTCCTTAGAGTGAAGGGCGAGGAAAAGCCCGACCTCCCTCAGTTCCTACCTGCCCCCTCAGGGCAGAAGGCCCCTCTCCCTGCTCAGTCTTGTCCAAGTTGTGTAACCAGAGGCTGACCCTGCTCTCAGCCCCCACCAGGGCTCTATGGCTGAAGCAGCAGGGATGTCCTGGCCACTCTTTGTTCTGCCCTGCCCTGTCCTCATGTCTGCTCATCACTGCTCCCCGTTTCCTGTCCCAAATACCCCACCTCCGGCCACAGCATCTTGATTTGGTGCCAAAAGTTTGAGACTCAAACACACCTCAAATATGTTGCTGCAAACCCCTCTCCGGATTTAGCAGCAAGACTCAGCCAAAGCCACCTTGGTAAATGCAGGCCTGGCCAGGCTGGGGCGTTTGACGTTAACCACACCAAGCTCATGCATAGCGCTCAATATGCTTCACACAGCAGGGAAACAGTATGGGGAAACTGAGTGATGAGACCGTGGGAACATCACTGGCCCGAGAGCCCCCAGCCTGACAAAGGGTCGTGAGCTACCTAGTGCTACAGCAGCACATGATAGGAAACACTAGAGCTCTTAGGCAGGCCGGATGCCTGACTCCCTTTGGCAGCCAAGGAGAGTTAGGCCCATCACTCCCGTGGGCGTTCTGGTAGTTGCATGAGACACCCTGGCTTTGTCTCCACTGCAGGGTTTTTGCAGAAGAAGCCTTTTGCCCAAAAGTTTTTGTGCAAAATGTCTTCCGCAAAAACGCGTCTACACCTCAAAACACATTATATATAAAGCCTGTTTATAAAGCCACCCAGAACTGGTTCTAGCCAGACTAGTGGTCATCAGTTGCTCTCAAGTGCTGTTGCTGGAGACCTCCAGAGACGCGCGCTTAAAAGGACCCCCCTGCACAGCTGCTTCTCTGTCTCTCCTGCCTGCTTGCTAGCCGCTTTGGCCAAGCAAAGCTTCAGCAGTGCCTGCTGTGTTTGCCCTTTGCTTTTGGGGGACGACACAGGTTTACACTATTCTGCCCTGTGCTATGGAGCCGGAGCTGCCCCTGGGCATGCGATGGACCCCTAGGGCCATACTGCACCATGGACCCCCAGGGCCATGCTGCACTCCCTGCAGTGCTTGGTTCAAGCAGGGGTCCTCTTCTAGATGGAGGTGGACCCCAAGATCTTCCTCATTAGACTCTGTCTGGCTGTGGGTGCTCCACTGTGGCTGTCTCAGCCCACAATACCCAGAAGATTCTGGAGGCTGGAAACCAGCTCGGACTGCATCATGGAGTGGTGGGACGACCAGCAATGGATGCAGAACTTCCACATGAAGAAGGCCACCTGCCAGGAGCTCTGTGTCTGGCTTGCACCCGCCCTCCAATGATGCGACACCCACCTGCGGTCAATCATCCCACTCCAAAAGTGGGTCGCCATCACCTTCTGGAAGCTGGCCACCCCTAACAGCTACCATTCAGTGGCACACCAGTCTGGGGTGGGGAGGTCCACCATCCGGGCTGTTCTCATGCAGGACCATTCAGTGGCACACCAGTTTGGGGTGGGGAGGTCCACCGTCGGGGCTGTTCTCATGCAGATAAGGAGATCACGGCATGCAGTCCCTGCCCGGGGGAAGAGGGGATGTTGCATAAGGGGGACCCTCAGGGCAGGGGGACAGGGCACTGTACGTGGTAGACTGGGGGTGGGGGGAAAGGCCTGGCCCAGGGGCTGACACCTTCTCGCCCTTGCATTGGCCTGGTCGGGGGGGAGGGGCGGGGTACAGGGGGGGAGGGCCTGTGGAGGGGCAGGAGGGAAGGTGGCCACATCCCATTGGGAGAACACACCCCTCTCTCATTTCTCAGTTTTGTGTGTTTCTGTTTCTTCTTCTGCAGGTCCCTTGCCAACAGGGACTGTTAACAGGGAGTTTGGAGTGGGCATTCTCCAGGTGAAGGACACAGCTAATACTGGACCCTTGAGGGAAGTGGCTGTCTGTGGTGTGTGTTTGTGTTTGAGGGTTTCTTGCTGTGTACTGAGCTTGAGTTTGGCTGTTTGGGTTTTTTTTTTCCTTTCCCTTCCCCTACCCCCCCTCACAGAGTGTGTTCTGTGGCTGGCAGGTGGAAGCTATGAGCTTCTAATCAGGGTTTGAAATCTAGAGGCCTCTGCTCATTGGTTGAGCCTTAATCGGGGAGGGGCTATCAGGTAGTCCAGGGCTTTATAAAGAAGTGAGTCAGCAACCAGGGAGCTTGTGAACAGGGACTGCTAACAGGGAGTTTTGAGAGGGAGTTGGGAAGGGGGTGAGGGACATTTGCCTTTCTTTAAAATCTTTTCGCTGCACTCCTGCCCTTCAATGAGGCATTTAAAAACAACTGAGGAATCTCTCAGAAGGAAGGCAGGTATGGATGGTGATAGGTCTGCTGTTGTTACCTGCACAGTGTGTGCCATGTTTGTCTTCCTCCCGGAAGACAGAAGGGATTTCATCTGCACTAAGTGCAAGCTGATCCCTATTTTGGAAGAAAAAATTAGAGGACTTCAGGCCCAAGTATCGAACCATTGTTCCATCAGAGAGGATCAAGACTTCCTTGATAGAAGGCAGTGTTTAATCCTTCAGGCACAGCAGTCTGAAGAGCCAGTCAGGGCAGTACAGGACAAGGAAGAAAACTGGCAGCATGTAACTTCTAGAAGAAGAAGAAGGCCAACTCAGGTATCCCCCATTCTTGCAGGAAGGCAGGTATGGATGGTGATAGGTCTGCTGTTGTTACCTGCACAGTGTGTGCCATGTTTGTCTTCCTCCCGGAAGACAGAAGGGATTTCATCTGCACTAAGTGCAAGCTGATCCCTATTTTGGAAGAAAAAATTAGAGGACTTCAGGCCCAAGTATCGAACCATTGTTCCATCAGAGAGGATCAAGACTTCCTTGATAGAAGGCAGTGTTTAATCCTTCAGGCACAGCAGTCTGAAGAGCCAGTCAGGGCAGTACAGGACAAGGAAGAAAACTGGCAGCATGTAACTTCTAGAAGAAGAAGGCCAACTCAGGTATCCCCCATTCCTGCAGAGGTAAGTAACCGCTTTCAGGTTTTCTCCACAGGCACTGTGGACAATGCTTTGGCAGGGATCTCTCAGGGTAGAAATCAGGAGGGAACACCATCTACCGGAAGGCATGGGATGAGTAGTCCTAGTGATGGGGGTTCTCTGACCCCCCCTCCCAAAAGAAGAAGACAGGTGGTGGTGGTCAGGGAATCCCTCCTAAGAGGGACTGAGTCATCCATCTGCCATCCAGGCCTGGAATCTCGAGAGGTGTGCTGCTTACCAGGAGCTCGCATTCAGGATGTGACTGAGAGTCTTCCAAAAGTGATCAAACCTTCGGATCATTACCCCTTCCTACTTCTCCATATAGGAACTAACAATACGGCCAAGAATGACCTTGAAAGGGTCACAGCAGATTATGTAGCGCTGGGAAGAAGGATCAAGGAATTCGAAGCGCAAGTGGTGTTCTCGTCCATCCTCTCTGTTGAAGGAAAGGGTACAAATAGGATGGAGAAAGCAGGGTGAGCAACTGGTTATCTAAACTGTTTGTACACGAATGCAAGAAGCCTGGGAAACAAACAGGAAGAATTAGAAGCCCTGGCCCAGTCAAAGAACTATGATTTGTTTGGAATAGCGGAGATTTGGTGGGATGACTCGTATGACTGGAGCACTGTCATGGAAGGGTATAAACTGTTCAGGAAGAACAGGAGGGGGCGAAAAGGAGCAGGAGTTGCACTGTACGTAAGAGAGCAGTATGATTGCTCAGAGCTCCAATACATATAGAGAGAAAAGTCTGTTGAGAGTCTATGGGTTAAGTTTAGAGGTGGAAGCAACAGGAATGATGTGGTTAGTGTCTGCTATAGACCACCGGTTCAGGTGGATAAGGTAGATGAGGCTTTCTTCAGACAACTGAGAGAAGCTTCCAGATCTCAGGCCCTGCAGGTGATGGTCCCGCTGTCCTGGTTGTTGTCCTCCTCCTCTGGTGGGGACTGGACCTGCCCCTCCATCTCCTCCAGCTTGGGGACAGGCTCTGGGCTCTTGAGGACTGGCTGCTCCAGCCTGGAGTCCACCACGATGGAGAGGAAAGAAGGCTCCCTCTATCCCAGGATGTGGTGGAGCTCCCTACAGTAGGAACAGGTGTGTGGTCCTGCCTCTGAGTGCCACCTTCGCTCCATCACCATCACATATCTCTGAAAGAGCTCCTTCACCTTTGCCCGGGCTTGTTCCATGGTCTGGCCTGCCCTTTGCCCTGGGTTCTCGCAGTGACTCCTCTTCCCCCCACAATTGGAGGAGGGTCACGATTTCTGAGCTTGACCACGATGGTGCGTGGCACTTGCTGCCCCAGGAGGTAAGGGGCGGGGCTGGGACTCCTGTGGCTGCTTCCTGGCAGGGACATGGGGGGGTTTGGGGCACCTGTTTCCTCTACCATTTTCACCAACAGAGAGCTGTATGGCAAGGCAGCTGGCTGTGGGCAAGCTTCCTGCCAAATGGGCTGTGCAGGGAGCCTGCACCTCTCAGAGGGGCCAGCAGACAGGAACAAGAGAGTTGTGATTGCCTGCTATGGAGCGTCCAAGAGCCACCTGTGTTTTTCCCTGGAGGCCAGTTTTTGCACAATAACCCCTATGGCGCATCCACACATGCCTTTTTGCACAAGAGCTGTAGCACAAAAAGGACTTATTCCTCGTGGGGAGAGGAATAACTGCACTGCAAAAAGCCTTCTCTTCTGCCGATTTTCTTGTGCAAAAGTGCAGTTGAGGTGTGGACGCTCTGCCGGTTTTTGTGCAAAAACCTTGTAGTGTAGACATAGCCTCTTAAAGTAATTGAGAGGGATTCTTAAGCAATCAATATAATTAACACACAATCTAAAACTCAAGCAGCACCATGGACCCCTAGAAGCAGCGCCTGGGCCATGTGTGGGTGACTTTGGATACAGGCCATTTGTTGAAGATCCATCTGCAAGGAGCCTTCCTTGGAGGCTGGATCCAGCCTGCAATAAATCGATGGCCAGTCTGTAGAAGTGAAATGCAGCACCCGCAGCAATAAAGCCAGACACGGCACCTGGGGCACCGGGGTCACCCTTTACAGCTATGATACAGGGGCAGCAGCGCTGGAGGGAGGGGCTGCGTGTAACCGATCGGTTTAACCGATGAGCCCAGGCACATGTTCACATCCTCAATGGAAACTTGGGCCCGAGTCAGGTCTCTGCTCACCCCCATGTTCTGGGAACTGGTCCGCAAGGGCCTGCACTCTTCTGGCCTCTGGCCTCTCCCGCTCCATCAGCGCAATATGACTGGTGCTGGATAGTCATGGGCCAGGGGACACCCCTCTGTGTAACCGGACAGGACAGCAGGTCATCCCGCATCTGCTGCAGGGAGCTCCCAGCACTGCCGCGGGACTGGGATCATCAGTGAGAGTCAGCGCACGGCTCTGCATTTCAACGGGCGCATTAGTGACTCCTGCCCCGCAGCCCGGCGACGCCCGTGTCTGTTGGCGTCTCCTCTGTCCGGGGCGATGGATCTTTTCTGATAAAACACAGAAATGTTGCTGTTCTGTTCAGCCAGCCTAAGGCCAGAGAAGCCAGAAGAAGTCCATTGGACAGCCCTGCTGTGCGGACATCGGGAGCACTTCTATGGGCATTTAGGCCCCAGCAACCCCACTTTCTACATCAACCCCTCTGAGGCAGACAGCTCGGATTTCCGCCTCCATAGGCTTGATCTGGCCTTTTTCTGCTCTGCTGACAGCCGGGCTTTGCCCTGACACTGGCTAGCTGGGCAGAAAAACCCTTCTCCCGCTTACCCTCTATGGGGGCTGGCATGGAATGTCTACACTACCCTCCTATTTCGAAATAGGAGGGTAATGTAGGCATACCGCAATTCAAATCCCGGGCTTCATTTGCAAGTGCGGTATGCCTACATTACCCTCCTATTTCGAAATAGGAGGGTAATGTAGGCATACCGCAATTCAAATCCCGGGCTTCATTTGCAAGTGCGGTATGCCTACATTACCCTCCTATTTCGAAATAGGAGGGTAATGTAGGCATACCGCAATTCAAATCCCGGGCTTCATTTGCAAGTGCGGTATGCCTACATTACCCCGCTAGTTCGAACTAGCGGGGTAGTGTAGACATACCCTGAGGTAGTGCCGGGTTCTCCTCCAATGGGGTTATAGCTGATACCCCGCCATCGCCCTCAGGTGACAGTTGGGCTCCCCCCCATCCCTCCCAGGTGACAGTTGGGCTCCCCCAGGTGGCAGTTGGTCATTTCCCCCCTTGAGGGGCCCGTCGCTGACTCTGCTCGTTAGGCCCCTCCCCCCACAGCAGGTTCCTGAGTCGCTGTCAGCGGCTCTGACCCATCTCCCCCCTCACTGCACCGAGGGCTGGAGGGTTGGGCCCATCCCAGCAGGGCCCCCCAGGCTCCAGCCAGTCTCCAGCTCACAGAGCAAAGGGCCACAGAGCCCCTGGCTGGTTGCTCCCCTAGTGACATCCCCTCGCCCTGCAATGCAACACGCGGGTGACGCTGGCCGCGTCCAGCCACAGCCAGACGTCCAAGTGAGCGCACAGACGAGATGGACTCTGCCTGCTGAGGCGCCCGCGCTGGAGAGGCCCTGAGCAAACTCCCCAGCTCTGGGAGCTGGCCTGGAGCCCAGCTGGCCCAGAGGCTGCTGGGACCAGGCTGTGGGTGTGTCTGAGTTTCGTAGCCAGGCAGGGCGGGTGAGGTCAAAGCTTCTATTGCACCAACGTCTGCTGGGGAGAGAGACACTTCCAGCTGCACGGCTCCAATGACACTGCAGAGAACAATGTTTTTCATGGTAAAACTTGCTGGGATAGCGAGGGCCTGAAGAGGAAAGAGCCAAAGGCCACCGCTACCAAAGGGAAGGCTGGCCACCAGCGTAAGCTGGATTCAAACCTGCCCAAGCAGAATACAAGAGATCGGCCTTAACATCTCAGCCACCTCTTTACCTACTGCTGTGAGGGGGAACCTTTTACGTGAGCCTGCTATTTACTCAGCCAAGACCAGGCACCCGAGCAGAAGTGGAGAAGAAACCAGAGACCTGTCATGTAGACTCATAGACTTTAGACTCATAGACTTTAAGGTCAGAAGGGACCATTATGATCATCTAGTCTGACCCCCTGCACAGTGCAGGCTACAGAATCTCACCCACCCCTCTTAGAATAATCCTCTCACCTATATCTCAGCTATTGAAGCCTTCAAATATTTTGAAGGCCCCAAGATGCAGAGAATCCTCCAGCTGTGATCTGTGCCCCATGCTACAGAGGAAGGCGAAAAACCTCCAGGGCCTCTGCCAATCTACCCTGGAGGAAAATTCCTTCCCGATCCCAAATATGGCGATCAGCTAAACCCTGAGCATGTGGGCAAGACTCATCAGCCAGACACCCAGAAAGTTCTCTATAGTAACTCCTATCTAACAAGTCTCTCAATATTGTGCAAAATGCCTCTATGGTCAGGGCTGTGGGTTATTAATCAAGTGTCTACCACACATGTGTGTTTGAATTATTTTCTGGTTCACCATCCCTTCTTCTTTTGGTGGAAGCACTCAATAGCTCGTTCTTCCAGGCTTCTTCCAGCTAGTTTCTAAAAAAAGAGAAGCTCTCCACAAATTAGGTGCCCCATGACGGCACTTCCTACACTCAAATCCAGTTTAAAAGAATGGGACTGAGGTATGAAATCTCTACACCACTGGTCTGCTTGCAGGCCTCCGCTGCTATATCTGCTCTACCCTGGATTCTGTACCTATTCTTCCATTGAAATATCCATGATAACATTTTAACTTTCTGTTGAAAAACTGGTGACCTGAAAAGTAGGGGTGGGGAGAATATCAGGTTTCAGCCAGTGAAAACGGAAAACTGTTAGATGAAATCTTCAATGAAAAGGAATATTCTAGGTCTTTTGATTTTCCAACAACAAATAAAAAAAACTTCAGAGAAAGCAGGAACTCCACAAATCAGTAAAATAAACAAATTATTTAGTAAAAAAATTAGTTTTCTATTGAAAGTGATCTTCAAGTAACATTCCATGTGGCCCAGGTGCATTGTCACTGTGACTGTTGTTTCCTCAGTGCTACTGGTTTGCCTGTGTTGTACAAGCTTGTATGATCTGGCCCCATCCCTGCCCTGACAACCTACCATGGGTTACACTAGAGCATTAAACCTCATGGCAGTCATTGCTAAAATCTGCCCTGGGGATGTTAGTGGCCTGTCTCAGCTGCTCACTCAATCTTGTCAGTGTTAGGTCTTGGGAACACACCAGATTTGGACGCTCCATGGACTTGCTGAAATCTCCATCAAGATCAATAACTCCAACTTTTCCTTCTTGTTCATTCACTGTTAGGTGGCTCAGTCACCTCAGATTGTGCATTTTCTTTCCCTCCTTTATCAGGCTCAAATTACTGTCTCTGGTAGCTGTTGCACTTTTGTCTCAGAGGGAGAGTCCCCACATAAAGACTTTCGGGCAGCTTAGATGCTAATTGTGTGGCCTGGGGCTGTCTCTATCAGAGGCACAAACTGGAACCCCTAATACACACCCCCAGACGCTGGGAAAGGCCAGATTAGGACGCAGAGCTGGAGCTAAACTTCAGGGTCCATCACCAGTTTCTCTGTCTCAGTCCAGCATCTCACTTCCCGCTGGTTCCTCTTGCAATTATCAGTCGCAGCCACCATAGTGTTAAGAAATGGAAGCCAGCTGGGAGCCGTTAAACCGAGAGGGAATGTCTCTTTCTGCCAGACAGGCTCTAGCCCAGCCAGCTGTTAGCAGCTCAGTGCAGGGATCCCTGGGGGAGACTCTGGCCTGGACTGGGCAGACGCTCTGACCAGATGAACCCGTTGGTCCCTTCTGGCCTTTACATGTACGGCCACAAACATAAACTGCCCTGAACCCTCATGAGAGTAGACAAAGTGGAGAGAGCGAGAATGAGACAAGTTAACGTGTGAGGACAAAAATAACATTGTGAGAGCGGGTTACTGAATCCCACAGCGGGTGATAAACCCCACACTATTGGGCTGCTATTTTGGGGTCAGGTCCGGGGAGAGCTCAGTGCTGGTGTGGGGCGGGGAAGAGGCATTTGCACAGATGATTCTGCAGCTGCTCAGGGCGCTGTGGGCTCATCCTGTGGTTCCCACCCCACACAGCTGCACAGAGCGGCTTGACTGTGTGTGCAGAGAGTCGCTGAGCAGGGGCGGCAGCTCACCACAGCAGCTCTCCTCTCCCTGCCCTCTTCTGAGCAGCAGCCTGTCTGCCTCCATCACTATTCCCTGCAGGGCTGGGCAGACCGGGTCTCATTCTGCCCTGGGCTTTGGACCAGGGAAAGGGAGGCAGGGGCTGTGATAGGGGTCGGAATAGTGGGGGAGACTCGGTGAGATCAATTCAATCCCCAGCTGTAGATTTCCCAGCTCGTTTCTCTGATATTTTTCCTGATTCCCAGTCCCGTCTCATCCAGCTTCTTCCCTCTTTGGCTGTCGTAGCCCAGAGTCACTGGCCTGCCAGGCATGTAGGAGGTTGGTCATTGTCAGCCAGGCTCTGGGAGGGGTGGGGGAAAGTCGGAGGATCTTGTGGCTGACCCCTGGGTTCAATTCCTGACTCAGATGTGGACTCCTGTGTGTCCGGGACTCAGTCTCTTATTGTGCCTCAATATCCCCATCTCTGACATGAGAAGGCTCCACCCTGCCTGTGAGAGAAACCACAGAATTTAACACTTAGCGCCTGTCTCTACAGGCTCTGCACAACTGACTGATTTCACGTCACTGTTCTAACGCACTTGCCTAGAGAGAAGCCCTCCTAACTCCTTCCAGGGGCTGTGCGGTGAGGCAGCTGCAGGGTCTGAGCAGCCCGGGGGACTCACTCTGCGGCTGCTCTTGCTTTCTGTCTCAGCTGCGTTTGCAGCTCTGGCTGAGGGTGGGGGAAGAGGGTGAGGCCCCTTCTTCACATCCCGCTATGGACTGCTCATGATCCCGGCAGCAACCTCCCTTCACTCCTTCTTTCCCCACTTTCCCAGTTCCAGTACCTGTTCATGGGCTGCGCTGCCAGCTGTGCCCAGCTGCAATGCCAAAGTGCCAACTGCTCCAAATGACCCACAGCCCTGGGGATCACTTGGGAGTAGAGCTGCCAAAACCCTTTGATCTACAAACGACCATTTCTAACGGCGAGAGGTTTTGTCCAATGGTTTAGTTTTTTCCAACGTTTCCATTTCTTCAAAGAGAAGTTTGAAATATTTTTAAAGAAACATCAGGAGCATATTTTAAAATGTTTTTTTTCCAGTTTTTCACATTCCTTTTTGCAAAAGATTTACATTTTGGATTCCTCCTCCCTCCCTTTTCCCCCTGATGTCTTTGGGCCACGGCTCAGAACAGCTGGTCTCCAGCTGTGCTCCACAGACTGAGTCCCTGAGCGGGGTGGTAACCCAGTGAGAGGCTCAGCCTGGCTGCAGGGGGCACAGCACAGTTTAGCCACAGGTCTCTGGGAGAGGGAGACTGCACCACTCAGAGTTGGGGGGGCACAGGCTGTGGCCCAAAGCCCTAACAGTGGTAGTGTAGTCGGCTTCCGAATCAACAGGGAGTCCACTACGCACCACGTTGACTTACTCCTGGTTAGCAGGGAATCCAGACCACACCATGCTGACACCCCTTGGTGGCCACATTGTGGCCCTGATCCCCGAGGGTCGTGCCACACTCCCCCTCGTCCTGGCAAACCTGCAGTCTCAGTGGATCTATACTGTTAGATGGACAGGCACCAGACACCACAGGTAGCTCCTCCAAGTCAGGAAGGACTCCAGTCTGCAGCTTCCTCTGGGGCAGTGTTGGTCAGGGATCCGTGTGGTCCAGCCCGGTCATTGGCCCCCTCTCGGTTGGTCACTGTTCCTTGGGTGGGAGACCAGAGGGAGCATCCATCTCCTGCAGCGGCTGGACTCCAAGTGAGCGGTCAGCACAGTCCTTTATACTTCCAGCCACACCCCTCTGCTTCTGGGGGCGGGGCGAGACTGGACTGGCCACACTCACCAGAACACATAGTTGTAGGCGGGATGGTCAACACATAGTTGTAGGCGGGGAGGCCCAGGACTCCTTGGCTTTTTTCTTTCTCACCTTTCTTTCTGCCCTGATTCCCTTACTATGGGCTCAGTCCCACTGATTCTGGCTCACAGGTCACTTCTGGATGCTCTTTCTCTACTGTCTTATGTTCTTCCCCATCCGGCCGTTCCCTGGGCCTGTTGCTCAGCAGGGACAGCAGATTTCTCAGTTGTTCAGAATGGGGACAACGGTGACAGACAGAGCAGGGTAGGCAGAAGTGACTGAGGCTGGGTGTGTAGCACCAGGCAGGTGGACTCCAAGCAGATAAGGAAGGAAGTGGAGGCCAGGGGTAGGTGATCCCTGGGCATGAAACTGATCCTTGTGTAAGGGTCCCATGAGGTCCAGGCCCCATCTATGTTCCACAGAAGCCCAGAAGGAATTGCCCACTGGGGGAGGGCTGTACTTCTAACCAGGGACTGGAGACCAGGGTGGGGGAAAAGGGCCATCCAATATTCCCCTCCCAAACACCCACTGACCTTTCACTCTGGCCCCGCTGTGCCTTTAGCCAGGGGCTGTCTCGGTCCCCAGGCTGTGAGATAGGACAGGGCACGTTTCTTTACTGGTATGGTTAGACTCAAACAAGCAAACCGAGCCCCTTTGGCTCTCAACCTTCAACCCTAAATAGAGACACTGCGGTTGGACTGGGGAAGGGAGGTGGTGCGGGGCAGGAAATGGGGAACAATGATGAATATCAGACCTGGGGAGGAGACAGAGCAGATCAGACACAGGCTGTGGCATTTTTGCTGTCAGAACCCTACAGATCCCACGAGGCCTGGATGCAGGGAGAGGGGCTGGCTGGAGTATCCAGCCCTGGCGAGCAGACGGGCTGATCGGATCAGAGTAGCAGAGATTCCCTTGTGCGGAAGTCAGAGAGAACTGAAGGGGCAGGAGGGAACAGGAGCGACTGAGGATTGTCCTGTCCTCACCTATCGGGGAGAGGCTGATTGGTTCCCCGATGGTCTCAATGCTCCTGTCTCTGTGCCTCTTGCTGCCCGGTGAGTACGCGGGAATCCTGGGCTAATTCGGAGCTTGGTGGGAGGAAACAGAACCGAGAGCAGCCACTGGCCCGGAGTGTCGGCAAAGCCTCTTCAGTGGGCAAGAAATGGGAACCAGTGTAAACACATGAGAGTGTGAGAGCTGCTGGGCCAGATCCCAATATGGTGTAAATCTGTGTCGCTGCACTGGAGTCAATGTCAGCTTTCACCACCTGGCTCTCTGGAGATCTGAAGGGAAAGGAGACCCCAGCGCAGCCGAGGTCTGTGTGCTCGAGGAATCTGCCCTGCCCGAAGCTAACGTCCTGCCGGGTTTGCTCCTGCACCAGAACAGGACTCAGGGATTTTAAAGGCAGGTTTTGTCCCTGACAAGGAGCCTTCGAATACGGGCAGATTTCATCTCCAGCACTAACCACACGTTTCTGTTCCCTGTTTCATTTCTGTCCCCTTTCTGTTCCCAGCGCTGAGTCCCAGCAGCCAGGCGATCTGCTCAGCTCCCGGTGAGTCCGTCCGTCAGTCTGTCTGTGCCCAGACACGCTCATGCTGGGGGGTTGGCATTAACAGAAAAGGCTTCCAGCTACAGAAGATTAGGATTCATTATTATTGTTACTGTGGCCTCACATGCCCCTCTCAGGCACCGAGGCCCCGTCGTGCCAGGTGCTGCACCGCACTCCTGCCACACGTGAAGATCTCGGGTCCCGGTGCCTGCAGAGCTGACAGTCTCAGATCTGAGCATGTCCCCCCATGACCCAGCTGTGCTGCAATAACAGCTTGTTCCAGACTCAGCCCTTGGGCAGGGAGAGCCCCTCCCGCCCTGCCCCACAGAGCCGTGTCAGCACCTCGGAGCCGCCCGCACTGTGCTCCATGCACGTGGGCTATCCCAGCTGTCACTCGCACGGGGCCGTGCATCCCGCACACGTTCTCACACCTCTCAGCATGGTCTCTGCTACCCCCTCCTGCTCTCAGCACATTAGCACCCACCCCTCCCAGAGCTCCCTGGCTCTGCTCCAGGGGATTGTTGGTGGCTGCCCAGTGACCTTGCAGGTACCCAGGTGGACTGTGAGAAAAGAGGCCAAAATCCACACATTCCCACAATCCCCTGTGGAACCTCTCCGGCTCTCTGGGCTGTACCCTATCACTCCTCCATGGCCACTGATCCACTTCCCAGCTGCAATCCACTTCCAGGGCAACCAACTTCTTTTAGTAAACTGCTCCCTGGGCAGCCCTTCACAGCCCCATTGATGGATTTCACCCCCTCTTCCCAGGTGCTCTTCCTGCCCCCACCCTCTACCTTAATCAGATGCATGCTCCAGAAGCCAACTCTGTGCAACTCCGGTGCCTTGTGGACTTCCAGCTCCCGGTCACCCGCATTGTCTTCTGTAAAGATGGGGAGGAGCTATCAACCCAGCAGGCCATAAAGGAGAAGATGAATTACAACTATGACCATCTGCTGTCCAGGGGCAGCGCTGGGAATTTTACCTGCAGGTACGAGATCAAGGACAACAACAACTGGGTGAGAAGATCTAAGCTCAGCCCTGCCCAGCACCTCAGCGTCACTGGTAAGATGAAGTAGGTTGTTATCCTCTGTGCGAACCAGTCTTTATATGGAGACATGACACTCACTGTCGGCTCCCAGAGGCAGACAGTGGGTAGAGGCAGCAGAGCCAAGCCCAGAAACCTGGCCCTATTGCCTGTGACAGGCAGGGAGACAAGGTGGATGTGACTGGGGGTTGGCGTTTTGGAGCCCTCTGCTCTGTTCCCAGCCCTGCTCAAGCGACCTGCCCAGCCCTTCCTTGTCCATACAAGGGGTGACTGACCAGTGTCAGCTGTACCGCGGGGGCAGGAGCGCTGGGCTAGTACCAGGGGCAGTGAAGAGCACAGGGAAGCTACTAACACTCAGCCGGGCCTAGAGCGCAGGGTCTCCTGCCTCGTAGTGAGCACCAGCCCCCGGCTCCAGGAAACCTCTGAGGAGTCCATCCTCCTCCCCGCTCCCTAGCTTCCGCACAGAGGGACAGGGCTGCCAAAGGCCGGTGGAGAGTGTGACACTTGGCAGGCCTGAGGGAGTCAGGGGGAGCCCCTTTGGGGAGGTTCCACCCAGGGCAGAGCCCTGTCCCATAGGACTGGTGCAGGGCTGGGCTCAGCCATTGCAACCGCGTCTCACACTGAGTGTCACCTGGTGGTGCTGATGGGCCCAGATTCCCCTTGTCCCCCTGGAACAGGCAGGCGAGCAGCAGAGCCGAGGAGTCAGACCCCCCAGCTCTGACGGCTCCTGGGCCAGACCCTGGGATCCGAGCCTGGCTCTGCTCTTCCTCCAGCTCTCCCCTCGCTGCATAGACACTCTGGGCCAAACGCGCCCCTGGGGTAACTCCTCTGCCTGCAGCACTTACACCAGGGGTGGCCCCAGCTCTCTGCATGGAACCCAGCCTGTAGCGGGGAAACTCAGTGTGAGACTCAGAGCGAGAGAGTCCAGGAGCCAGCAGCTCCACTGGTGGGAACTGAGAGAGCCCTGTGGACTCCAATGGAGGGAGGCCAATTTACTCCCACTGGGGATGTGACCCAGTGACTCCAGGTCGTGATGCTGATTTGCACCCACTGGGGCTCTGGCCCAGGCACCGGCAGAACCGCTCGGTCTGTCGCTGGGGGCGCGTCCCTCCTATACAGTGTGAATCTCTTTGCCCTTGTCACACAGGCGGCAGGAGCAGCAGTGGTGCAGTGGAGGGGCCGACTCGCCCAGGTAACGGGCTATTGCTCTGTCACACCCTGGCTATCAGAGCCCGGCTCTGTGCCCCCAGCCCTGCCCTCACGGCACAAAGTCTGGGCCAAATTCACCCCGGAGCAGGTACCTCCTCGGCCTGCAGCTCAGTGACCCTGGCATTGCTCACGTCCCACGTCCACCCTCTCCTGAGCACACAGCTAGTGCCAAGGCCTCCTGCTGCCCAGGGTGGGATCACCCTGCAGTGAACTGCAGCCACTCTGGGGAGAGGAGATCGGGTCTAGTTGCCGTGTCTGTCGCTGGCTGCTGGGAGGCCTTTGCACAGAATCCCGGTGCAGCCCGAGTGAACTGGGAGGCGCGTCCCTGTGGGGGCTGCAGGCGTCTCTCCCACACGGTGCAAATCTCTTTGCCCTTGTCACACAGGCGGCGGGAGCAGCAGCGGAGGAGCAAAGAAACCGACCCGCTCAGGTAATGGGCTATTGTTCTGTCACCCCCTCATGGGCAGTGACAGAGGCAGGGGCAGGCAAACCTCCCCAGGCAGCCAGGTGTGCTCCGCCCCCATCCTCCTGGTGCTTCCGTGGCTGGCTGTCTAGTCCCCAATGGCCTGGGGTGGGAGGCTGGGCCCATGCTGCCTTCCAATCCTGAACTGCGGTGCCAAGCTGGCAGGGTCTGTGCTGCCTGCACTGAAGGTCTGGGAAGTCAGAGACTGTGACGCTCGGCCTTCCCACACTGCCCAGCCCCTCGGCACGTCGGGCAGGAGGCATCTGGTCTGTAGGGACCAGCAGCCACAATCACAAGTGGCAGAGTCATGGCACTGGACACGGGACTTGACTCTGGTGGGTATGGAAGAAGAGGAACTAGCTTTTTCACCCACTCTCTGGTTAGCAGTGCCCAGTTCTGGGCCCCCAGCCCCACCCTCAGGGCACAAAGTCTGGGGCAAACTCACTCCAGGGCAGGTACCTCCTCGGACTGCAGCTCAGTGACCCCGGCTGGGCTGGGCTCTGCCGGTGCCATTCCCCAGGGCAGAGGAGAGCACGGCCCCTGGCATCACTTATGCCCCATGTCCATCCTCGCCTGAGCACACAGCTGGTGCCAAGGCCTTTGCACTAAATCCCTGAGCAAACCTGGGCTGTTCCCTGCTTTTCTTAGTCCTCATGATAGCAGGAGGGGTCGCTTACCACACGACTAGGCCAGCTCCAGCCAGTGGGGACTGGCTGGTGGCTGCTTGGAGAGGCCATTCACAGCGAATTTCTTTCCTAGGGCTGAATCTAAAGCTCCTGTTGGGGATTACGATCCCTGCTGTGCTGGTGCTGGCTGTGGTTCTTTATCTGCTGGGAAGGAAAGGTGGGTATGAGAGTGAGGCTGAGCCCTGTTAGCAAATGTACAGACAGACCTGGCAGAGACACCCCCTGAGATCCCCTGTCCCCAGTGTGCCTGGGATGGGAGGAGAGAGATGAGATAGACAAGGTGAAATGAATCATTTGTTTTCAGGAGGCTTCCTGGGGGCAAAGATCAAAGAGACAATGAAAGGGAATATCTGTGATATTAATTATGTGTGTTGCAGTAGCATCCTGGAGCCTCAGTTAGGGGTCAGAGCCCCACTGTACTAGGTGCTGTATATTATTTATGGGCTAAACTTTAAAAACAATGAATAGTCTGGTAGCACGTTATAGACTAACAAAACATGTAGATGGTATCATGAGCTTTCATGGGCACAGCCCACTTCTAGATGACCGGAGTTCTGAGTTTAGGATGTGCAGACCCAAAATAAATAGGGGAGAAGGGAGAAAGGGAGAGGGACAAAAAAGTAGGTGGCAGGAAAGAAGGAGCAGAGGGTATGAAAATATCAAAGGGAAAAACAAGTAGGCAGAACTGGTAACCAGTCTACGGCTCAGCCAGGGTCGTGTGTCTGGATGGAATAACCACACGCAAGACACTAAAATTGCAGGTCAGGAAGGCATCCCCTAGGTGCATGGAGGTAGGGGGAGGTGGTGGGATAGGAGGTGCTGGGGGAAAGAGGGAGTAGTGGGTGGGAGGCGCTGGAAGGTAGGGGGAAGGGAAGGTGGTGGGCAGGAGGCACTGGGAGTGAGGGGGAGGGGGTGAGCAGGAGGCTCTGGGGGCAGGAGGAGGTGCTAACGGGGGGCTATCCATTGGATGCCTTTTTTGGAGCACCAGGAGTTGGCACCTCTCTGGTGAGACTTGGGGCCAGTGCTCCCATGGGCGGTCAGTGGCGCTGGTGGAGGAGAGGAGAGCACCAGGCCGGGCCGTGGAAACAGGGTTCTGTACCAAAGCCAAGATGAACAGGGGCTGTGTTGCTCATTTCTCTCTCTCTTTCTCTCTATGCCCACAATGAACGGTGTCCCCCTCTCGGATCACTCTGCCTCACTGCTTCCAGTTGTGTCTCTGCGAAGGGATCACAGGTAGGAGGAGATTATTCCCTCTCCTGGTCTCATTTTCTCTCAGGGGCTATGTTTAGGCTGCATCCTTCTGTCGACAGAGGGATGCAAATCAAGCACGTCGAAATTGCTAATGAAGCCAGGATTTAACTAGTCTGTGCCTCATTAGCATAAACATGGCCACCGCTTCTTTTCAAAACGGAGTTTTTTTGAGAAGAACGGCAATTTAGACTACTTTTTTTCCGAAATGAAGTTTTTTTGAAGAAAAGGCAGTCTAGACGCGGCTCTGTGGAAAATAAACCCTTTTTCGACAGATCCTGTAAACCTCCTTTTTGAGGAATACAGGATCTGTCGAAAAAGGGTTTATTTTCCACAGAGCCGCGTCTAGACTGCCTTTTCTTCAAAAAAACTTCATTTCGGAAAAAAAGTGGCAGCCATGTTTATGCTAATGAGGCACAGGATATTTAAATCCCAGCTTCATTAGCAATTTCGATGTGCCTAATCTACATCTCCCTGTTGAGAGAGAGGTGTAGTCTGGACACACTCAGGGGAGGGGTCAGTGCGCTCTGCCCCACAGAAGGGCTGGTGGTTGCACCAGCATCTAGGCTGAGCACAGCTCTCCTGCTGCAGGCGGTGCAGGGGTCAGTCTACTTGTTCTGGGGGAATTTTTGAAAAGCCCAGGGCAGGATGAGAACTGGGGTTAAGGGACATTCAAGGCTCCCTCTCTAACCCTGTTCCCTTTGCCCTCTGCCACTGTGCAGCCTGCCAGGCCAGATCCAGCTCATTCTGAACCCTGCCTGGCTCATGCTGGTCTCAGGGCCCCAGGCCTGGTTCATTGGCTGCACGTTGCCCTGCCAGGGACCCCAGGAATTTGACACGCCCCCTCGATGGGCGACGCGAGGGGCATTCTGGACACAGACAGGGCCCGGGGTGTGGGGAGGCGAGAGGCAGTTTCCAGGCTCTGCCAGTGTCCGGCCCAGCCTGGGTTCCCAGTACAGCGACTCTGCCAATAAAGCCAGTGGGGGCAGGGGCCAGCTGTGCCCTGCCTGCCTCCTGAGCCTCCCTCACCCATACAGCTCTGAGCAGCTGCCCCTCCTGCCCTATGACCAGTCTCTGCCCCCAAACACCCCACCCTGCCCCCTGGGCCGTGGGAGCGGGATAGCAGGCAGGGCTGGAGGAGAAGAGCCTGGGGATGTGAAGTTAGAGCTTCCACGCTCTGCAAAGACTTTACAGCTCAGCCTCAAGGTCAGTGCTCAGATTCCCAGCCCTGTCAGTGTGAGCAGGCCTGGGCCAGAATTCAGTTTTAGTTGGGTGGAAAATAAACAAGGAAATGACGAGAGAGCTGAATGGAGAACCAGCCACGTACCTGTCCCCCTCACGTGATTCCCCTGCCCGGGGGAGGACTGGGGCACCTCCTGTTGTGTATTGGGTTGCAGATATAGATCTTGTTGTTATAGTAACTGAGTAAGTCACTGGGGTCAGCCCAGCTCGTTTGGGCTTGTGCTAGTCAGTTCTGTGCTATGCAATAAATGGGCACTTGCAACTACTCAAGCTCTCTGTATGTCCACTGATTTCTTCCTATACTGTGAAACTCCCCACGACAGAACACCTCCCCTTCCACTCCAGGCCTCTTCCTGCCAGCGGGTGTGGGGCAGTCATGCTGGCTTCCGGAGTGATCCAGCCAAGAGCTGGGGAGAACCACCTCGCTCAGCTGCCTCCTGGTGACTGTGGGAGCATCCAACACCCACTAGAGGCGCCAGGCCCCCCACTAGACCTCTGGGCCACCCAGAAATCTGACCCCTTGCTCTTCCTGCCCATGGCACAGGGCTGCACGTGCCCCCTTATGCACACACATCGCCCCGGCTCAGAAGAAACCGACTCTCAGTCAGATCTCTGAGAGCAGGGAGAAAACACGCGGCACGACTGACACCCCGTGTGCTTGTCACTCCCACAGGGAACGAGCCTGGCGAGGCGCCAGCTGCAGTCCTGGAGATCAGATTGAATGTAAGAGCTTTGGGAGAGCATCAGGGCGAGGGAAGGTCACATGCACATGAGGAGGAAATGTGGGGCTGGGAGTAAATGTGTTAATTGGTGGGGGGTGGGCAGAGCTGGCCAAGAGTTTCAACTACCAAGAGGAAGAGTTCGTGGGCTCCCATGTCTGGTGCTTCTGCAGTTCCTTTGTCCCCCCTTTGCCTGTGACCCCCAGGCTCCTCTTTGAGCCAGGCTCTCCCCTGATGAACCACTCTCTCCCCTCTTGCTGGCGGTTGGCAGTACATCCTGGGAGTCCCTGGCTGTGATGCATCATGGGAGATGAAATCCAGCCCCCCAGTCCTGCAGGTGGAGGAGACTGTCAGCACAAGGCCATTGAACTACAAGTCCCATGTGGCACCGGGGTGGTATTTTTATCACCATTTCTGGGGTCAGTCAAACATTTCAGGGTTTGGGGGTTTTGCTGAGAATATACTGAAATTTTCTGCCAAAAGCTGATTCTGTTTGTGCCAAAACAGCTCTGTGAAAAACCCAGACACAGTTTCCACTGAGCATCTTCAACAGCCTAACTTAATCCTTCGGCTACTTCTACACTGGCATGATTTTCCGCAAATGCTTTTAACGGAAAAGTTTTCCGTTAAAAGCATTTGCAGAAAAGAGCGTCTAGATTGGCACGGACGTTTTTCCACAAAAGTACTTTTTGCGGAAAAGCATCCGTGGCTAATCTAGACACGCTTTTGCGCAAAAAAGCCCCAATCGCCATTTTAGCCATCGGGGCTTTTTTGCGCAAATCAATACTGTGCTGTCTACGCTGGCCCTCTTGCACAAATGATTTGCACACAAGGGCTTTTTCCCGAACGAGAGTAGCATACTATTTCTGCAAGAAGCATTGATTTCTTACAGTAGGAAGTCAGTGTTCTTGTGGAAATTCAAGCGGCCAGTGTAGACAGACGGCAAGTTTTTCCGCAAAAGCAGCTGATCTTGCGGAAAATCTTGCCAGTCTAGACACAGCCTTTTGGTATCCCCTAGCTCCATGGTGCTCAGGGCTGCCCAGGGGGCCCTGCTCTGGCTGGAGGAGGAGCCATGGGGTTATAATTCCTGCTCAAGGAGGTGCCTTCCCTTAATGGCACGTACACCCAAGTGGCAATGTGTAACTGTCATTCTCTCCCCAGATGCCTCCGTGGAGTCCCGGAGAAGTGCCAGGGTGAGTCCCAGCTTTTACTAAGGACAAAGTGAGGTGAGAGCAGAGAGCAATTGGTTTGCCTGTTCCCGCTCGTCAGGGACCCGCAAACGTGGAGTCACTCAGGGTTCCCAGGTTCAGGCTGTGTCTGTTACCTCGGTCTCCCTGCTGCTGCCTCAGATCTCCACCTAAGATCAGGTAGCTGCCTCCCTCACCTGCTGTTATCCTGGCCAGTCAGGCCCTGCCTCACAGACACACATCCAGGTGAGAGGAAAATATCCTCCCCAAACTCCACACAAGAGCGACAGGGAGAGTCCCCCACAGCTTGAAACTCTATGCAGCTACAGAAGGGCTTTCTGTCACAGAGGGATAACTGGTGTCTTCAGAGTTAAAGGTGAAGGCAGCATCCTGTTATCAGCCTGATTTTCATATACATCCTCTCATCCCCAACCCAGTCCTGTGGATAGCAAAGCTTCATTCTCATCCCTCATCTCTGAGGACATTTTGTCTTAAAAGCTTGGGAGAGATGGAGTCTCATTCACTGTCAAGGGATTTTCCTACTGTTATCATGGCCTGATTTATCCTATTTTAGTAAATGACTCTAGGAAAGGGTATTTTTTTACAGCAGGGGGTCTCAAATTCAATTTACCTTAAGGCCAGTGCCAGTCCTCAAATCCTCCTACACAGCCAGCAGGCACCCTCCTCTGGCAGGGCTTCTGGGGGTGGGGGTGGAGGACTTCATGTATTCACCACCCTCACATCTCCAGGCCCCTGCTGGCCTGCACATACCCCCAAATCCTCTGACTCTGCCTGCCAACCCCAAGTCATTAAAAAACTTCTGGGGGGCCCCACCGCTGCCACCAACAGTACAGTGGGGCTAGAGTGGCTTCCGGCTGCTAGCTCCATGCCCTGGGGAGGTGTGTGCAGAGTCATTGGTGTAAGCTGTGACACTATTCACTCATGTTGTGAAACTCACTAGATACCAGTGATGCCAGCTCTCCTGATCTGGTCACAAGCCTTTTGATAATTGGGATTTTTTTGGGGGGGGGGGGAGAACAGGGAAGCCCCAGCTACTTTATCAGAATAAGCCAGATCCGAGAACCTCACTGTCTGATGCCTCATGCGCAGCTGTCAACTGATTCATCTGACTTAGGTGATCATCCCCTTGCCAGTGCTCTAGGGGGCACAGCCTGCGGGACATGGCAGAACGGAGCGGTGGGGGTAGTTCCTCTTACAGGCCGGCTGCACTGCCCCCTCTGGTGAAGGGCTGTATTCCCCGTGCAACACCCCAACAGAGAAAAACTTGGCAGTGTAGATGCACCCTGAGAGAAATTTCTGTGTGTGTGTGTGAGAGAGAGAGAGATTTGTGTCTGTGTGAGATTTGTGTATGCGTGTGAGAGAGATTTCTCTGTGTGTTTATGACAGAAGCAGTTTTCTTTCTGTGTGTGTATGTGTGAGCGAGAGCAAGAGAGGGTATGTCTACACTACCCTCCTAATTCGAACTAGGAGGGTAATGTAGGCATACCGCACTTGCAAATGAAGCCCGGGATTTGAATTTCCCGGGCTTCATTTGCATGAAGCCGGCCGGCGCCATTTTTAAATGCCGGCAGTTCGAACCCCGTGCCGCGCGAGTAGCTAGTTCGGATTAGGAAGCTCTGCCCTCTCCCGAGCATCCCCACCCCACCCAGAACACACGAAAGCAAAACCCCAGCATTGAGAAAGTGAAAGTGAAATCCCCTGGTAGCAGAACGCGGAAGCAGCAGGAGCAGCGTGTCAGCTGGGAGGGCGCTCTTGGGAGAGCTCCCCGGCCGATGTGCTTTATGACCCCAGCACGGGCAGCCTGTGCAGCCTCTCAGACCCAGCAGCGCCCTGTGGGCGTGAGGGCGATGTGGGCTTGATTCTGCTGCAAGCCCCATGGGCCAGGGAGTCCTGCCCTGCAGGCTGGTTTCAAAAATGTTTTAAAAAGTCTCAGCGAGCCAGATTGGGCTGGTTCTCGGGCCGCAGATGGCCCGCGGGCTGAGACTTTGAGACCGTCCTCATTTCATGTGAATTCAGCAGCGTGTTGCACCCTCCCAACATTTTATATTTTGGTCTCCCTTTTGACCTATGCAATTGGCCAGAGTATGAAGTGGCATTAGTCGTTGTACTGAGAGGAGATAGTGATGAGAGAGCCAGGCATGTTGGGTGATTCAACCCCAGTTATTTATACAGACTCTTCTACAGAGGCCTGTTTCCCCGGACACAACAGGAACCCGACACCAGGAGACACTTTCTGGACACTTGCTTCCCAGCCTCTTCCCAGCCAGCACTGTGCCCAAAGCTCACTCTCTCTCCCACTACTTTTTCTCAAGGTCCTGTTCCAAGTGCACCTCTGGCTCTGTCCAACTTGTTGCTTTTTCTGGTTGCTTCTAAGGTGTGCCTGCTGCTTGTGTTACCCCCCTGCATTGCTTCTCAGACCTTTGGAAACCCACCAGAGCACTTGGTCCTGCCACGCTGCAGTCTTGCCCTTGGGCTGTGGGTGCCCAGAGCTTCAGCAGATACTAACGATGGGGGCATTTCCTATTTCCCATATTTTTCCTTAATGGCAGGGTACTTATCACAGCCACCAGCTTCAACAAGATGCTGTGATTGCCCACAGATTAAAGGCACAATGATTGGGAGCCATCGACTCACAAGAATACAATACTCAAAATTGCCTAGAACTGTGATAGACATCGCCATTGGTAACATCAGTCATTAACATGAAACTGGACAGGAAAATACAACACTGCCTGCAGCATAGAAGATAATAGCGCCCCAACATAAGGAAAACCCGTCACTACCTCCAGTTGGCATGGAGAGAGGGAAAAGGGTCTCTCTGACCACCTGGAATATGTTTGGGTAATTCCCAGCTGTTCTAACTGGAGGGAGGGCAGAGAAAAGCCAGACCAAGGCTGTGCAGGGTAAGAGTGGGGGGGGGGCTATAGGTGTTTCCCAGTCTAGATGCCCCCGCTGTACGCACAGCAGGGCTGTCAGACATTTTCTGGCTTCATTTCTCTGGCTTTCAGCTGGCTCAGCAGAAAAGTAACATTTCTGTGTTTTACCTTAAAACAGCCACCACCTCATAGAGAAGAGACACCAACATATGGAAACATCACTCTGCGGTAGGACAGATGTCATTAACGCTCCAGTTGCTGAAATGCCGACCCTAGCAACAGCTGTTCAGAAGGTTTGTCATCTATAAAGAGTGTCTCAGGTGTGGGACTCTCTGTCACATCCTCTTCAGTGAAGACTGATGCAGGGAATTCATGCATCTCCTCTGCAATCGACTTGTCCTTGACTGTTCCTTTGGCATCTCAGTTCTCCAGTGGCCCTGGTTGTTTAGCAGACTTCTTGTTTCTGAGGTACCTTTTGTTTTCCTGTTAGTTTTTGAGTCTTTGGCCAGTGGCTCTTCAAATTCTTTTTTTGCCTGCCTAAATATACTTTCATATTTGACTAGCCAGAGTTTATGCTTCTTTCTATTTTCCTCAGTAGGATTTAACTTCTAGTTTTTAAAGAATGCCTTTTTGCTTCCCACTGCCTTTTATTTTGTTGCCACAGAGGCACTTTTGTGTAATCTCCCGCCCAGGGATATTGAATTGAATTATGTTATGGTTGCTGTTTCCAAGTTGTTCAGCTACATTCACCTCTTGGACTAAATCTTGTGCTCCATGTAGGATTAAACCAATAATCTTCGCCTCTCTGAGGACACCAGGGCTGTGTCTACACTGGCCACTTATTCCGGAAAATCAGCCGCTTTTCCGGAATAACTTGCCAGCTGTCTACACTGGCCCCTTGAATTTCCGGAAAAGCACTGACGATCTAATGTAAAATCATCAGTGCTTTTCCGGAAAAACTATGCTGCTCCCGTTCGGGCAAAAGTCCTTTTCCAGAAAACTGTTCTGGAAAAGGGCCAGTGTAGACAGCCCAGATTTCTTTTCCGCAAAAAAGCCTGGATCGCGAAAATGACGATCGGGGCTTTTTTCCGGAAAAGCGCGTCTACATTGGCACGGACGCTTTTCCGGAAAAAGTGCTTTTCCGGAAAAGCATCCTGCCAATGTAGACATACTTTTTCCGGAAATACTTATAACGGAAAACTCTTCCGTTTTAAGCATTTCCGGAAAAGGGTGCCAGTGTAGACGTAGCCCTATAGGTGTAGCTGCTCCAAGAACTAGTCAATAATGATGTCAAGGAACCTCTTCCCTGCATCCTGTCCTGAGTCACATCTACCCAGTTAGTGTGTGGATAGCAGAAATCCCCCATTATAACTGAGGAGTTTTTTTTTTAAATGTCTCTCTGATCTCCCTGAGCAGTTCTCTGTCACTATTACTATTGTGGTCAATAAGAGGACTATTGGAAACATCTAAGACTGAATGGAAGGAAAAGCATCCAGTCTGTACAAAGATTATTAGAACAATAACTAGGGTGAGAACTAATTATTCATAACCAGGGTATTAGTTTCTTAGTGTTTCTTAGCGACTGAACCCATCACAGAAGGAATTTCATTTTTTAGTTTATTTTATAAAATATTATGAAATAACTTAGGGTATGTCTACACTACCCCCCTAGTTCGAACTAGGGGGGTAGTGTACACATACCCCCATTGTTTACCAAATAACAAGTCCATTTTATAATGTACATGTATTTTTTCATTGCATATAATCATAAAAGAAGAAAAAAATGTAAACAGGTTTATTTGAATAAACAGCAAAAAATAACCGAGGATGCGTTTACACAGTAGCGTTATTCCGAAATAACCATGTGAGAATCTACACAGCAATTCCATTATTTCGAAATAACATTGAAATGGTTATTTCAACTTTCAACCGAGCTTATTTCAACTTCCAGCCGAGCTTGGTATGGTCCTGGCCTGGCTGGCAGGGAGCCGAGGGCTGCAGGCTGCAGGCTGCAGGGCAGTAACAGACAGTGTTCCTGACAGGAAAGAGGGATTGAAGGAGGCTGGAGGAGTTATCTGGACAAATATTGTCACTGCCAGGGCCTGTTGTGCAGCACTGTCTGTCCCCAAAATGGCTCTGAACTGGGCACTGGTATCTCCCCATCTCACAGCTGGTCAGTGCAGATCCCCCATTTCCTCCCTCTCACAATCCTGATGCTCTCCCCACGAGTCTTCTCCAGCCCCGGCGGCTCAGGCAGGCCCCATTTCTCCAGCATGAAGGTGATGACGGGCGCAGACATCAGGAGCAGCAAAGAACCAAGATGCAGCGAGTGGCCCAGATGATGGGGGACGTGGTCAGCTCAGCAATGCGGAAAGGGAGGGGGTGATGTCCTTCTGCAGAACAACGTGTGGGACTGCGGTGATAGAACCAGACACGGGGCAGCTGCTGTGTAACGGGGACTCTCTGCGAGCTCCCAGGGACCTAATGGTGGATCATGCCGCAGGGGCGAGGTTCCCCCAGATGGGAGGCCTGTGATGGAGACTGTTAGGTCAGAGGAGCTGGGATTCTGTGCAAAAGCCTGACAGGAGCCAGCAACAGATTCAGCAGCCCAGGCCCTCTTGCCCCTCCCCAGTATGGCTGGCACCTCACTGCAGGGGTGACCCCTCCAGCATGACGCTCAGGAGAGGGCGGACATGGGACATGAGCGATGCCAGGGGCCGTGCTGCCCTCTGCTCTGGGGGAACAGCACCAGCAGAGCCCAGCCCAGCCGGGGTGCCTGAGCTGCAGGCCGAGGAGTTACCTGCCCGGGGTGAGTTTGGCCCAGACTTTGTGCCCTAAGGACTGGGCTGGGGGCACTCTGCTAACCAGGGTGTGACAGAGCAATAGCTTGTGTGGGAGAGATGCCTGCAACCCCCATAGGGACACGACTCCCAGCAACAGGCAGCGGTAAATTGATGTCCCCTCCTTTGGTGTCCTCAGGGCTCTGCCAGTTCATATCAGCTGGACCCTGGAATCTCTCTCGTTCTGAGTCTCATACTCAGTTTCGCCACTTCAGCTACAGCCTGGGGCTGGTTGTGGGATGGGGCCGTGTGCACGGGCCACATTCCCCAGCTGCCCTGGGCCTGGGGCAGCACCAGGCCTAGGCCCTGCTCACGCCCAGCGCTGAGGGCTCAGGGGAGTTACGTGCTGCCTGGCCCTGGGGCTGCCCCTCTGCACAGGCTGGGTTCCCTGCAGAGAGATGGGGCTGCCCTGGTGTAAGTGCTGCAGGCAGAGGAGTTACCCGAGGGGTGCGTCTGGCCCAGAGTCTCTATGCAGCGAGGGGAGAACTGGGGGGGCAGAACCAGGCTCGGATTCCAGGGTCTGGCCCAGGAGCCGTCAGAGTTGGGGGGTCTGACTCCTTGGCTCTGCTGCTCGCCTGCTTGTGCTCGGGGGACAAGGGGAATCTAGGCCCATCAGCGCCGCCAGGTGACACTCGGTGTGTGAGACGTGGCTGCGATGGCTGAGCCCAGCCCTGCCCCAGTCCCATGGGACAGGGCTGTGCCCAGGGTGGGACCTCCCCAGAGTGGCTCCCCCTGGCTCCCTCAGACCTGCCAATTACACAAGCCACAGGCATTTGGGTAGGGGTGGAGAGAGGCAGGTACTTCCCACAGGATTCCTTCAACCTGGGGCTGGTGCTCAGCTACAAGCTAAGAGACCCTGCGCTCTAGGCCCAGCTGAGTGTTAATAGCTTCCCTGTGATCTCCACTGCCCCTGGTACTAGCCCAGCACTCCTGCCCCCGCGGTTCATCTCACTCTAGTCAGTCACCCCTTGTGTGACACTGGTCAGTCACCCCTTCTTGGGACAAGGAAGGGCTGGGCAGGTCGCTTGAGCAGGGCTGGGAACAGAGCAGAGGGCTCCAAAACACCAAACCCCCAGTCACATCCACCTTGTCTCCCTGCCTGTCACAGGCAATGGGGCAGATTTCTGGGCTTGGCTCTGCTACCTCTACCCACTATCTGCTCGCAGAGCCGCCCACCCTCCACTGCTCTCTGGGAGCTGACAATGTGTCATGTCTCCATACAGAGACTGGTGCACACAGAGGATAACAACCTACTTCTCCCACCCATCACCCCGTTCACCTGCCTCTGGATTCTCTCTGCCACTGCACGGGCAATTGTACTTGCTCTGCCGAGCCCCACTCTTACCCGCCACACTGAGGTGCTGGGCAGGGCTGAGCTGGGATCTGTTCACCCGGTTGCTGCTCTCCTTGATCTCATACCCGCAGGAGTAATTCCCAGCACTGCCCCCGGACACGGCACGGACATAGTTGTAGGTGATCTTCCCCTTTACGCTCCTCTGCGATGAAACCTCCTCCCCATCACAGCAGAGGACGATGCGGGTGGCCGGGAGTTGGGAGAACACGGAGCATTTGAGCAGCACAGAGCCCCCTGGCTGGGCTGACGTTTGGTTCAGGTAGAACACTGGGGCTAGGAGAGCGAAATGGGTGAATCCATCAGTAGGGCTGCCCCAGGTATGAACTGGGGGAGCCCAGGGAGCTGTATGCAAAGGAAGCTGGTTGCTGTGGATACAGCTCACAGCTGCGAGGTGGTTCACGGGCTGTGGAGGAGCTGTGGGGAAAACCCCAGGGAGCCTGGATGTTCCACATGCGGATTGGGGGAGTCTGGAGGGTTTAGTCTTCCCCCAATTCCCCTGGGTACCTGTGAGGTCACTGGGCAGCCACCCACAATCCCCTGGAGCAGAGCCAGGGAGCTCCGGGAAGGGGCAGGTGCTAACGTGGCTGAGAGCAGGAGGGGGCAACAGGGATCATGCTGAGCGGGGTGTGAACGTGTGCGGGATGCACGGCCCCATGCGAGCGACGGCTGGGATAGCCCATGTGCATGGAGCACAGTGCGGATGGCTCCATAGCATTGACACCCTCTATAGGGCAGGGCAGGAGGGGCTCTCCCTGCCCAAGGGCTGCAGGGTCTGGAGCAGGCTGTTATTGCAGCACAGCTGGGTAATGGGGGAGATACTGTCAGCTCTGCGGGGGAGGGAGAGCCTCACATAGGGGGTGCAGCATCTGGCAGTGGGGGTGGAGCTGGTTCCTGAGAGGCCAAAGAAATAATGATAATGAATTATAACCTTCTGCAGCAGGACACCTTTTCTATCAATGCAAACCCCTCTGGTGTGATTGAGTGAGTGAGTACGTTGAATGTGTCTGGGACAGACAGACAGACAAACGGACTCAGCGGGAGCTGAGCAGATCTCCTGGCTGCTGGGACTCTGTGCTGGGAACAGAAAGGGGATGTGTGGTTAGTTTCTAAGGTTCCTCTCCAGGGACAAAACCCGCCTGTGACAGACAGGGAAATTAATCCCTGATACCTGTTTTGGTGAAGAAGAAAACCAGGCAGGACACTAGATTTGGGGCAGGGCAGATCCTTCGCACAGAGACCTTGGCTGAGCTGGGGCTGCCTTTCCCCTCAGCTCTCTAGAGGGCCAGACTCTTAGCTGGTGTACCCTGTTATTGATTCCAGTGGAGCGAAACTGATTTACACCAGTTTGGTATCTGGTCCAGTAACTCTCCTAGGGTATGTCTACACTACCACTCTAGTTTGAACTAGGGTGGTTAATGTAGGCAACCGGAGTTGCAAATGAAGCCCGGGATTTGAATTTCCCGGGCTTCATTTGCATGTTGCCGGGCGCCGCCATTTTTAAATGTCCGCTAGTGCGGACTCCGTGCCCGCGGCTACACGCGGCACGAACTAGGTAGTTCGGATTAGGCTTCCTTTTCCGAACTACCTGTATACCTCGTTCCACTCCGGTTGCCTACATTAACCGAACTAGGGTGGTAGTGTAGACATACCCATACTGATTTCCATTTCTCTCACACTAAAGAGGCTTTGCTGACAGTCGGGGACAGGGTTTTCTCTGTTTCCTCCCAACCTGCTATGAGTTAGCCCAGGATTCCCATGTACTCACCGAGAAGCAGGAAACACAGAGACAGGAGCATTGAGACGGTGGGGGGCGGGGAAGGGGGATGATCAGGTTAAAAAAGCCCAGCTGCAACTGTGCCTGACAAAGTCAGGTTGGGACAATCCGTAATCACTCTGGTCTACCCCGTCTGCTGCCCAGGGTTGGATGCTCCAGCCAGCTCCTCTCCTTGCTCCCAGGCCCCCAGGGGTCTGAAGGGCTCAGGCAGCAGAAACGCTGCAGCCTCTCTCTGACCTGCTCTGTCCGCTCCTCAATCTCATATTGGTCACTGCTCTTTGTTTCCTGTCCTGCATCGCCCCCCTTCCTTGCCCCGACCGCAGCGTCTCTATTTAGGGCTGGAAGATTGAGAACCGACGGGGCCTGGTTTGCTTGTTTGCGTCTAAACGTATCACTGAGGAAATGCAAGCTGCCCATATCTACCTAGGGACTGAGACAGCCCCTGGCTAGAGGCACAGCTGGGCCAGGGTGAAAGGTTGCAGGTTGACTGGGGGGGCTGGGATTTTGCCTTCACCCTGGTTTCCAGTCCCTGGTGAGAAGGACCCAGCTCCTCCAGGGGAAAAATTCCTCTGGACTTACAGGGAACTTACATGGAGTCTGGGCCTTGTGTGAGATCCCTGGCAAACAGACGTTAAGACTTGTGCAGGAAACCAAACAGCCGAAGGCAGGCTCAAGGGAAATCCCTCAGGTGTATAAGAAGAGGAGTTTTGGAAGCAGTTTTTCGTAGTAAATGGTGCAGAAGCGGATTGCTCTGGGATGGCGGGTGGGCACATTTCACCCCTGGGCTGCAGTCAGCTCTGCACAGCACTGGACAGGGGAGGTACAAGGTGGAGGGCACAGATATTTGGGGGTGACTGTGGGAGTTAAGATGAACAGTGGATGGTCAGTGGAGCACAGTGTGACCCTACCTGATAGACACAGCGCCCAGAAGACAGCAGCCTGAAAGAGGATAAACACGTTTCACAATTGGCTCCCAGTTATTTTTTCATATTTTCTCCAGTTTTTCCCTTTTCTTGGTGGGAAAGTGGAAACAAGGGAGCGAGAGGAAATGCAAACTGTGAAACCTTTCCCAAAAAAGTCATGAAAATTTGAAAGTGTTCCATTAAAAAAAATCAGCTGGTGGGATCTGGAGCAGCCCACGGTGGGATTTGAAGAAGTGACTCTCCCTTCTCCCACCCCAGCCAGAGCTGCCAACACAGCTGAGACAGGAAGCAAGAGCAGCCACAGAGCGAGTTCCCCTGCTGCACAGACCCTGCAGCTGCCTCACCACATGGCAACTGAACGGAGCAAAGAGATGGCTGCAAAAAGCTAAGAAAAGACCAGGTCTACACTACCCTCCTAGTTCGAACTAGCGGGGTAATGTAGGCATACCGCACTTGCAAATGAAGCCCGGGATTTGAATTTCCCGGGCTTCATTTGCATAAACGGGGTGCCGCCATTTTTAAAACCCCGCTGGTTCGAACCCCATGCAGCGCGGCTACACGGGGCACGAACTAGGTAGTTCGAACTAGGCTTCCTAGTTCGAACTACCGCTACTCCTCGTGAAATTCAAATCCCGGGCTTCATTTGCAAGTGCGGTATGCCTACATTACCCCGCTAGTTCGAACTAGGAGGGTAGTGTAGACATACCCTAGGCTAGTGCGTAAACAGTGACTTGAAAGAAATCAATTTCACAGAGACTGGATTAGATTATTATTAGCATAAATACCCAGCATTGCCTGGGGAAAATATAGTAAAAGGTGTGAAGAATGAACTACATGAATGACATTAGCATATTTTATTGGGAATACTTTTCTCGGATATATGACTTTAAGAAATTAACATAGCTAGTGATGTGCTTACAAAATGGCAAATCCCATAAGGTCTCTTTTCTCAATCCCCACAAATCAGGAAGGCCCATCTTCCCTTAAAGACTCTGTGCAAACCAATGCCTGCAGCCTCCTTTCCAGAAGCCCTGAGAAATGGAGGGGATGTCTCCTGGGCTCTGCAGCAGCAGCAAATCACTGCTCCCCAAGCAGCCACTCCCCGAGTGCCTTCAGTGCATGCTCCATGGGGCAACCTGAATGGACTTTCTAACAGCAGCTGGACCAGTTACATTGATCAGAAAAAACAAAAGACCTTCAGACCAGGTGCAATGAGTGATACCTAGATGATCAGAACATGCAGCACCTGAATGTGCCTGTTCTAATGAGAATAGGCTGTTCTGAGTGTACTGTATCCTCCTCAGGCTCTACGGTGCTCAAAACCTTGACCTCCTACCCACCTCCTCTTTGTACTGTGAGCTGAATCCTGCAAAGTGCTTGATGCCCCTGGCCTTTGCAGATAATGCACTCAGCCCTGCCAGGAGAACGCACACAGACCAAAAAAGGGAGAGTGGTGGGATGGCTCGTTTGGGTGTGGGGAGAGGGAAGCAACTTTAATTTCCAGAAGGGGGTCAGTCAGAGCCTGGCTGTGGGAAGATTATGAGAGGCTATAATAGCTGGAGGCTTCTCCCATCCACAATTAGCAAGGCTAGACTCCAGCCAGCATCTGCCACATTTGGGTCTGTCCTGGAGACCTGCTGGTGCCCTAGGATAGGGGAGGTTGCTGATTCTCTGCCCCACTGCAGCCTCTCCACCATGGGCTTTCCATTGCTGGTGCTGCAGGTAACCACATGCTTTATCCTCTAGGCATAACGGCTTTGCGTAAGAGGGTTTTTCTTGTGCAGGAAGGGGCAGTGTAGACAGCTCCTTCTTGCGCAAGAGCCTCTTCTGCAAAAATGGCGGCTCATTAGTTATGGAAATGAGGCTTGGCAATACTCCACACTGAGCCTTATTTGCATAGCTCTGGCGCAGGATTGCGCCAGTATAGACACAGCCCTAGTTGCAGTTTGTGACACACTTAACAGAAGAGTCCAGCAACTGCTTATGATCAGGTGCTACTAAAAGCTAATTATCAGTGGGCCCAACTGGGTCTCTGGGGAACTGATTTTGAGATTTTACCAAACCAGTTACCTAAGTTAGGAAGCCAGTAGTATCTGTGCAAAATTTGGTGTTTCTAGCTCTTACCATTTTGGAGATCTTTCAGGACAAACAAACAAACAAACAAACAAACTTTCAGAAATATTTATAAGATATTGTGCTTCATTTATCACATCTGGCCGCTTGAATTTCCACAAAAGCACTGACGATCTCATGTAAATTCCTTTGTCCCAGTTGAAATTCCTACCTGCATTTCTATTGGCTGACTGCTACCTGGCTACTTACAGTTAACCCCTTACTCCCCAGGCTGCTGCCCATCCCTCATGGTTATGACAACAACGTTAGCAATGAGACAGATATCACAAGACATAAAAGCACAAAACATAATTTTTGTCACAACAATAAATCTATGTTATCTCAGTTGCTCTTCAGCTGGTACCAGCTCTTTCTGATGTTGTGAAAGACAAAAAGAAAACTGTTCTGCCCCCAAGGGTGTGTGCGTGCGCATGTATGTGTGGCACATTATATTTTAAAATGATCCATTCCTTCAGAAATATTCCTGTTGACTTCTTTATTTGCCTGCTGTTACCTAATAATTACCTATGCTTGTTCTGTAAACGAGCTAAGCCTCAGTAAATTCCTCCTCTGCAGGTTGCAAGTAAGTTATCCCACTGCTCATTTATTAAATTAATGGGTTGGCATGCCTCAGTTTACCTTTTATACAGCAGACCAGGTTTTTAATAGTCTGTTTGTTGAGTGAAGTTCCCAGTTATTCACAGGTAGTAACTGAGAAGCTTCACTGCTATAGCAATTTTCCTTAGCACTAGGGCTGTGTCTACATTGGCAAGATTTTGCTCAAAAGCAGCCCCCCCCTGTCTACACTGGCTGCGAGTATTTGCGCAAGAACACCGATGTTCTAATGTACAAAATCAGTGCTTCTTGAGCAAATACTCTGACACTCCCACTCAGAAATAAGCCCTCTTGCATAAGTGGCCAGTGTAGACAGGCAATGTTAATTTCTTGCGCAAGAAAGCCCGATGGCTAAAATGGCCATCGAAGCTGTCTTGCTCAAGAGAGCATTTACACTGGCACGGATGCTTTTGCACAAAAGCACATCTCTTGCACAAAAGCACATGCCATTGTAGACACTTTCTTGCACAAATACTTTTAATGGAAAAACTCTTGTGTTGAAAGTATTTGCGTAAAATCATGCCATTGTAGACGTAGCCTAGGTGTTGGCTAGTTACCATTCCAGCAAGTCCAAAAGGTTTTCTCTTCCTAAAAGATAATTATACACTATGGGTGTGTCTAAACTACATGGCTCTGTCGATGGAGCCATGTAGATTAGACAGATAGGCAAAGGCAAATGAAGCCGCGTTTTAAATGATCGCGGCTTCATTTAAATTTACATGGCTGACGTGCTGAGCCGACAAACATCCAATCAGCTGTTTGTCGGCTCAGCGCGCTAGTCTGGATGCTCCCCTGCCGACATCAAAGCCCTTTGTCGGCAGCCCCATTATTCCTCGTGGGATGACATCAAAGCCTTTTGTCGGCAGCCCTGTTATTCCTCGTGGAATGAGGTTTACCGGGGCTGCCGACAAAGGGCGTTGATGTCGACAGGGGGAACGTCCAGACTAGCCGCTGAGCGGACAAACAGCTGATCAGCTGTTTGTCGGCTCAGCGCGGCAGCCATGTAAATTTAAATGAAGCCGCGATCATTTAAATCGCGGCTTCATTTGCCTTTGCCAAAAAAACAAATCTACATGGCTCCGTCGACAGAGCCATGTAGTTTAGACGTACCCTATGTGTCGTGGTTACTTAACATCAAATTTATTTCCATATTAAACAGTAACATTGGCATCAAATTCTCTTGTAAGTGTGTGCTCATAAATATCTCGCTATGTACTTTGCCTTTTATTTGGACAGTGTGTCTGTTATACCGTTTTGAAATCCCTGAATAGCAGCCCCCCTCTATTCTTCTAGGCTGCATCTAGACTGGCATGATTTTGCACAAATACTTTTAACGGAAAAGTTTTTCCGTTAAAAGTATTTGCACAAGAGAGCGTCTATACTGGCATGTGCATGTGCTTTTGCGCAAGAAAGCTCCGATGGCCATTTTAGCCATCAAGCTTCCTTGCGCAAGAAATTAAGGTGGCTGTCTACAGTGGCCCTCTTGCGCAAGAATACTTGCACAAGAGGGCTTATTCCTGAGTGGGAGCGTCAAAGTATTTGCACAAGAACCACTGATTTTGTACAGTACAAAGTCAGTGATCTTGCGCAAATACTAGTGGCCAGTGTAGACAGGTAGCAAGTTTTTGCACAAAAACACCGCTTTTGTGCAAAATCTTGCCAGTCTAGACGCAGCCCTACTGTATTACAACAATTGGTCAATTCCTTCCAGACTCTGCAGAGTTATCAGAGGCTCGGCCTTGAAAAGAGACATAGCGAACTTCGAGAGTTCTGATGACTCCCAAGTCCTGCTTTCAAAGCACACTGCAAAAATACAACTTATTGTGGCTTCTCTCCAGAGTACATTGGGGCTGTCTCTACACTGGCCACTTATTCTGGAAAATCAGCTGCTTTTCCAGAATAACTTGCCAGCTGTCTACACTGGCCCCTTGGCTCGGCCTTGAAAAGAGACATAGCGAACTTCGAGAGTTCTGATGACTCCCAAGTCCTGCTTTCAAAGCACACTGCAAAAATACAACTTATTGTGGCTTCTCTCCAGAGTACATTGGGGCTGTCTCTACACTGGCCACTTATTCTGGAAAATCAGCTGCTTTTCCAGAATAACTTGCCAGCTGTCTACACTGGCCCCTTGAATTTCCAGAAAAGCACTGACGATCTACTCATGTGCTGCTCCCGTTCGGGCAAAAGCCCTCTTGTGCAAATCATTTGCGCAAGAGGGCCAGTGTAGACAGCACAGTAGTGTTTTGCGCAAAAAAGCCCCGATCGCGAAAATGACGATTGGGGCTTTTTTGCGAAAAAGGGCGTCTACGTTGGCACGGACGCTTTTCCGGAAAAAGTGCTTTTCCAGAAAAGCATCCTGCCAATGTAGACGCGCTTTTCCCGGAAATACTTATAATGGAAAACTGTTCCGTTTTAAGCATTTCCGGAAAATCATGCCAGTGTAGACATAGCGGTGTTTTACAGATTTTATATACCCTTATTAATGTAACAGTCTGATCTCTGCTACCTCCTCCCCTCAAAAAAAAACCGCCACAAAAATTCACAATACATTCTCAATTTCTTGGGTGCTTGGCTGCCCTTGTACTAAACACAAGGGCTATGTCTACACTGGCATAAATTTCTGGAAATGCTTAAAACGGAACAGTTTTCCGTTATAAGTATTTCCGGAAAAAGAGTGTCTACATTGGCAGGATGCTTTTCCGGAAAAGCCCTTTTTCCGGAAAAGCGTCCGTGGCCAATGTAGACGCGCTTTTCCACAAAAAAGCCCCGATCGTCATTTTCGCGATTGGGGCTTTTTTGCAGAAAACACTACAGGCAGTCTCCGGGTTACATGGATCCGACTTACATCGGATCCCTACTTACAAACGGGGTGAGGCAACCCCGCACTAGCTGCTTCCCCCCAGCAGACCAGGGAGACGTGAAGCTAGCGCCCCCTCCCCCCCAGCGGACCAGGGAGACGCGGAGCGGCTTTTCTCAGCAGCAGCACCCCAGCTGCTCTACCCCAGGGTCCACAACAAAAGCCTGGTCTGCTGGGGGGGGGGGCGCACTAGCTGTGCCCCCCACCCCCCAGCAGACCAGGGAGATGCGGAGTGGCTTTTCTCAGCAGACACCTCAGCTTGAGAATAAAGGACTGAGGGAAGTGAGGTGTGGGAGAATAAAACTGAGCTCTGGAGAAATGTTTGGCTAGAGTTTCCCCTACAATATGTACCAGTTCCAACTTACATACAAATTCAACTTAAGAACAAACCTACAGTCCCTATCTTGTACATAACCCGGGGACTGCCTGTACTGTGCTGTCTACACTGGCCCTTTTCCAGAATAGTTTTCCGGAAAAAGGACTTTTGCCCGAGTGGGAGCAGTATAGTTTTTCCGGAAAAGCGCTGATTTCATACAGTAGATTGTCAGTGCTTTTCCGGAAATTCAAGGGGCCAGTGTAGACAGCTCGCAGCTTATTCCGGAAAAGCAGCTGATTTTCCGGAATAAGTGGCCCAGTGTAGACACAGCCCATTTGATTTACAATGAGATATTGAACCTCGTAAAGCATTGAAGTACCTTAAGGATTAAATGCCAGAAAACAAGCAGCCAAGGAGTTATCTGTGTCTGGCAAAAACTGCTTTGTTAGTTTGCACCTTCAAATGAAAAGGCATTATCCAAAACAAAACAAAACCAATTCATTCAGAGCCCCCAAAACAGATTTGCAAACCTACAATTCGTAGATTGCATTCCCTTTTAGTGAACTTAACAAAAGTGTTCATAGCCAAATATTTAAACCAGATTATTTCTTTGCTGGATTATTTGCAGACATTCCTCAGGGGAAAAGGGCCCATCTCTCCCCAGAAAGTCTGAAAAGAAATGAAGAATACTCTCCCTCTTAGCATCTTCACAACAATTGCCTCCAAAGGGCTGAGGAGAAGCCATCCTCAGCCCCAATAGGATTTACTGGCCAAACAGATGGTTACTGCAGTCATGCATTCCACATTGTGCACCCCTACGCCGCTTCCAACACTTTAATTAACATGGAGTTTTTGTCCGCTAACTCCTTCACATCATCTCTTAATGTATCACACATATTACTTGCATCTTCTGCCTTCTTGGTAATTGCTTCCAAGAGACTGGGGAACAACCACTCCCAGCTCCAGTCCCTATCGTATCTGTTGGCTGCATAGGTGGTTACTACAGCCTCCATGTGCTCCACAATCTCTTGTAGAGACTGAGGGAGCTGCCCCTCATCCCACCCTACCAGGGAAGCCACCCGGCACAGTGCCCTTGCGATGGGATTCCTCCAGGGGGTTGCTGGCCATCCTGCTATCCCATCAGGCAAAACAACCCCTGCTCTCTGTTTACTCCACATTGCCTGTTATCCCTCTTCTCACAAGCCAGACACTGTACACAGTGTATCCTGTTTGTGACCCCAGTTGTCAAGTTACAGGGGCATTATGCCTAACAGAGTTGTGGATTTGCTTCAAGACAAAGTCAGTTAGGGATAGATAGTTGTTTTTATTAATCTCACTACAAAGACAAACTTAATACTGCCAAATGATTACACAGCTACTACAAAATACAAATCTCATTATATCAATACATCACTATGGCTGTGTCTAGACGGGCCAGTTTTTCCAGAAAATCAGCTGGGAGACTCAAGGCACCTTCAGAGGGAAAAGGTCTCTGGAGGAACTCCCAGAGGGATGGGATCCCCAGCAGGTTTTAGACTCTAGGGCAGTGTCTAGACTGGCCAGTTTTTCCGGAAAATCAGCCGCTTTTCTGAAAAAACTTGCCAGCTGTCTACACTGGCCGCTTGAATTTCCGCAAAAGCACCGACTTCCTACTGTAAGAAATCAGTGCTTTTTGTGGAAATACTATGCTGCTCCCGTTTGCGCAAGAGGGCCAGTGTAAACAGCTCAGATTTGTTTTCCGCAAAAAAGCCCCGATCGCGAAAATGGCAATTGGGGCTTTTTTGCGGAAAAGTGCATCTAGATTGGCCACAGTCGCTTTTCTGTAAAAAGTTCTTTTGCGGAAAAGCGTCCATTCCAATCTAGACGCTCTGTTCCGAAAATACTTTTAACGGAAAACTTTTCCGTTAAAAGCATTTCCGGAAAATCATGCCAGTCTAGACATAGCCTAGTTGTTTCCTGGGTGTGCACGTACCTGGCTCAATGCCATTCTTATCACTCTTATGGGCTGAGACCAAGGTCAAACTTGTTTACCGCTTAGTAGTTTCCCAGCTCAAGGCATGGTTAGAGATGATAAAGCCCAACTGCTGTTTGGGCTTTCAGGGTCCCAGGTTATGCTAAGCTGGGTACAGTAGGGATGGAAACTTCCATCCAAGGCCTGCTAAACTGCACGACCCACATATGACTTTCATGTGACAGAATGAATGTTCAGTGAATGGTTCTGGTAACTAGCCCTGGTCCAGGGACAATGGCTCCCAGAGTGACCAACACACATCTGAGGAAAGCGTCTGGAAACCTGCAAACCAGCCAGTACCTCATGGCTTCTGGCATGTGAAATATGCCATCACATGCCAGCTCCAGTTTGGGAGACACTAAGGCTACATCTAGACAGCAGCCTTTTTCCACAAAAACTTATGCAAATGAAGCACGGAGTAGAATATTGTTATGCTTCCTTTGCATAATTAATTAGCAGCCATTTTTGCGTAAGAGGCTTTTGCACCAAAAGAAGCTGTCTACGCAAAAGCCTCTTGCACAAAAATGGAATCTCGTTAATTATGCAAATGAGGCACAGTGATAGTTCATGTTTTGCCTCATTTGCATTTTTTTTGCACAAGAGGGGGCAGTGTAGACATAGCCCCAGGGTTTCTCTCCCATTTCAGATGGCTATAATGGAATCATTCATTCAGTCCGTGGTTACATCTGTATTACACAATTTTTTAACATTAGCTTTAATAAAAATGTCCTGGCCCTGAAATCTGCAGAACAAAAGCATCAGTTTCAGAGATTCAGGTTCTGAGCATTTTTCTATTTTTGGTTCCCTTCACCCTGCTGGAGCACTTTTGGCAGGTGAGGCCTTTACTGCTGGGCCTCAGGATTTAGCATTTCTTTTCTCCTCTCTGCTTTCAGGATGCTCATATTCTCCCCCCTCTCCCCCCTTTGTCCTCTTCAAGTGAGGAGTGCTGTGCATAGGCTGTGGGAGCTCCCTGAAGAACTCAATGTCTGGGGGAAATCCCAGTCGCTGGGAGGACAGATGCTGAGGGGTTTCCCCTGGTCCTGCCCCACAGCGTGACCAGGGCTGAGGAACGGGAACAGTCTCTCAGAATGTTCCACAGGAACCTCCAGGATCAGGGCCATTGAATTGACATTGTAAAATGAGAGACTCCCCCGTTCTAGATCCAGAAACACCCCAACCAGTGTCGGCTTCACAGCCCAGCTCTGGATCACAGTGTCAGCCTCGCTGGGCTGATACCGCCCCTCTGATCTCCTCAGAGACCAGCACCTCTTCTCGGGGAAACTCTCCGGCCCCTCCTGTCTCACTTTATCCCTCACAGTCTCATTCAGCACCCCTAGCTCCCAATCTGTGCTGTCCCCCACCTCCACCTCCCAGTACTACCTGCAAACCCCACCCTCCGCACCATGATCCCTCTTGGCCACAAACCCCTCCATCACCACAGGATGTTTGTAACTTGGATCCAGAGTGACAGGAACTGAGGAGAGAGAAAAGAGTAACCCCATTATCACAGGTCAGCCACAATCCCACAGGAGACTGACACCACCCAGCCACTCTCTGCCATACACATTCCCTGTGCCCCTCAGTACCAGCCCTGGCCTCTGTCCCACTGTAATGTGGGGAGGAGGAAATGGGTTTCCCTGCCCCGTGTGCCTGCAGTGTTCAATCCTCACAGTTAGAAGGGCACATTTTCAGCCAAACTCGTCCCTCCAGTGCCTCAGGGGAGCTGGAAAAGGGATGATTTTTGCTCTGTGTCTCACTCTAGACACAGCCCCATGTCTACCTGTTCTCGAATCACCTGCTCTGCAGGGCTGTGACCACTGGGGCTGATTCCTTGGGGGATGGAGCAGGCAGAAATTTCAGCTCAGGATGGGGGGGCAGGGTGGCTGCTCAGGCCTTCACCTTGGCAGGACAGTTCTGTGTAAATGGCTCAGGGCTTAGTAGGAGATGCCCAGTGCTGTGAGCGAGAGGTGAGGGGCAGAGAGGTAGGCAAGGGGCACTAAGAAGACAGTGAGCTGGGCTGACAGGTCAGGGGCAGATCAGGGAAGGAGCTAAGGGCCAGACTTCAGTGTTAGGCACTGAGGAGATAGTGGGACTGGCACCACATCCAGCTCCCTTGATCTGGCCTTGGGCTCCACGGAGCTGTGGGGCTGTGACTGGGCCTGGCTCTGAGATGGTGGGGAGATGGGAGAGGTTAGAGTGGGACCTTGGACTTCCTGTATCCTCGCACTCCCGCTGTCCAATATCTGCCCCCAAAAAGATTCCAGGGCTCCTAGGGAGGCCACAGAGGATGTACAGGGCCTGAAGACTCTGCAGGCTGCAGGGGGAGGACTGTGGGGGGCTGTCAGGGCAGATGATGGTGTGGGGATGGATCGTCACTGAAGGTCCAATAGGAGATGGAGTTGAGATACATCAGGACTAACAGAGTTGTCATGTGAAAGGGCAGCCTGGGGAGTGTGTCTGGGGACTAACAGGCCCATGGCTCTGTACCCAGCTCCCGCCCTGACCGCCTGCCTGATGGGGGGACCTATGACGGGGCGTCCTTGCCCCGCACAGAGCCCAGGAGCAGCAGCAGCCACCACAGCTGCCACAACAACATCAGCTACAGCAGCAACTACTGCAGTGGGTGGAGTCCCACTATCGGGGGGCAGTGACTAGCTCTGAGGACACAGGTGTGGAAGACAAGGTATAAAGTAGCCCAGGATGGGGAGCTAGAGGCGTGTTCCAGTCGGATTCCCCACTGAGCTAGTGCTGGGACATTCCCACCACTGGTAGGGCCCTGGGCTGGGGCTCAGTGGAGAGGGAGGGCCTAGGTCTCCCATCCCATAGACCCCCCAAAAGGGGGGGGGGTGCCTCAACTACATTACTAACTTATGTCACTGCTGACAGTGGCCATAGATGGGTAGAACAATTACATGGTGAACCAACCCAGATGGGACCTAAGAGGCTCCCCACCCTGCCTCCTGGGGGAGCCTGGCTTCGCACCCCGTGACAGGACCTGCATACTTCTGACAGCTTGGATACGTGATGCTGATACCATTTGTGACATAGTAGGGATTGTGTTCAGTCTGGTAGTCACTGTCTTAACTTTGTTTTGTATTTGCTGTCCTGTGCTGCTCTGTAGGGACTGATTGAAGGTGGCGGGTAGGGAGGGAGGGGTGCCCAGTGGGGGATGTGATCTTTGTGGGAAAATTCCTGAGGGAAGGCAGGTAGGGAATGGTCTGTCTGGCCTGTCCAGCCTGATTCAAGGGGGAAGATGCAATCAGTAATAGTCAGATAACATCTGGGCAGTGAAGCAGGACAAAGCAGGAGGCAGGGCTGCCTAGAGGGCTGGGGGAGGAGTTGCTGGGTGTGTGAGTTAGGTTTTTGGCTGGCTTCAGGAGAAAGAAGTCCAGCTGGCTTGGGGGGCTGGGCAGAGGCCCAGACCCCTGGCTCTGGGCCCCCTTATCCCCAAGATGGATTGTACTGACTGCTCCCAGTTCCTGTAACAATGATCCTGTGCTACCTTGTGTTCCTGTGAATGAATAAACCTTCATTGCTACTTGCTGGATGAGTCACACATCTGGCTGCAGATGGGGGTGCAGGGCCTGGTGACTCCTCCCCACTCCGTGACACCATTAGCCCCAGCATGGCATCTGCTTAGCCTCTCCCAGCCCCACTCACCCAAGTAGCTCCGAGCCCGCCTGAACTCTGCAACAGAAGAGGAACAAACATTCTCAAGAACTTGGGTAAATGCAGGGAACCTGCTCTGACAGAAGATACTGTGTAGGAAGAAGGGGAACTGGCAAATAGAAAGGAACCCAATGATATGAAATGTGACATTAAAACACGTCCTCTTACCTAGCTCTGTGATGGAGCTGTCTGAAATGGAAAGAGACAGTGTTAGGCCCTGTCATGTAGGCAGAGGGATCAGTTTTGGGTGCTTTCTACATGGTTCATGGGCCCTCACTGCTGAAGGAGAGATGTCCCAGCTGTGTGAAGCAGGAGAAAGGCCCTTCCACCCAGAGACCAAAGATCTCTGCTAATTGCATTGACAGGGATGCCTTTGTACAGTCTGATTGTATGAGGGATGGGAGAAAATTTTGCTCTCAGCGATGCTGCTGTAAAGCCACAGTAACTTCGCAGGAGTGAATTTGGATGTACACTGGAATCACCCAGAGAAAAGCTCCTCATTTTTTCACAGGTATGGGTTCTTTTGAAAAAGGTGTTCCACTCCCTGCCCCCAAAAGAACCCCACCCAGACTGCAGTTTTTTCCCCCAAAAAAACCCTTTTTCAAAAAACCGCGTGGACGTGATTATGCAAAGGAAGTGCGAGATTTCTAAATATGCGCTTCATTTGAATTTTCAAATCTGCTTCATTTGCATTCTTCTTTGAGAGAGGAATGCAGTCTAGAGGAGCCCAATAGCTAGAAAAAGTGGCTGTTTCTTTCATACTGCAGCAGTGCATTGCAGTTGACACTGAATGGTCAAAGACAAGGTGACATTTGTCCATGTGCAGTCTACATAGACAGAGAGCAGGTAACCGTGTGTGTTATGCATACGGTTCACAGTGCTCCATAGGGACTAGCGTGATTCTAATGTGACTCTGATTTCACCCAATCTGTTCACTCAGCCCTGCCTTGCACTGTTGGTGCTTCTGTCTCTGCTCAACACCCTGTGTGGCTGGGGCCCTCTGCCCACAGGCTCTATTGGGGAGGTGGATGATCTTACCCAGCCTCTCACGCAGCTCCTGGCATTCTGGGGAGAGAAGAAAAGGAGACCAACGTGAGCTCAGTGTGGGTCACTCTGAGCACGGTGACATGTGGCTGCTCCAAACTTTGGGTGCATCTACACTGCCGATGGGACGGAGCTTCCCTGTTTGGGTAAAGAGACACAGACTAGCTCTGCTTGAACTAGTGTGCTAAAATCAGCAGGGTAGCAGGCAGTAGGGTTCCCTCTATGGCAGGCATGTCCAAAGTCCGGCCCGCGGGCCAATTGCGGCCCGTGTTCCGGTTTAATACGGCCCCCCAGGTAATTTGCCAATATCTATCTTTTATGGCCCCCAACGAATCCATATGTATTGAGATGAATACTTTGTAAAATCTCAGTTAATGTCAGTTGGTCTAAATCAGTTATAAATATATTTGGACACAACATGTATACTTGGTGTTATGTTCCTGTTCATATTTTTTGAACTTAAAAGTTGACAGACAACCTTTATTACCAATAATATGTAATGTACTTTACAATGTTCCTGACATATATTTCAGCTTCCTGGATTTTTTTTTTCATCTGGCCTTCAGATATGAAAAGCAGAGTGATTTAACACCCGTTTAGATTTGTCATCCATGTGATGAAATGAAAAGTATGCCGTTTGCAATAAACTTTGCAGATAATAGTTAATTTGCATTTAATTGTAATGGTTCAAAGAATGTCAGGCAAAATGGTCGGCCCTCACGCATGTTCACTTCATCAAATCAGGCCCTCTTTGAAAAAAGTTTGGACACCCCTGCTCTATGGTGTGCACCTGCACAGGTATGAACCAAAAACGTACCACCCACTCACCTGCTCAGAAGAGCCGTGTGGTGGCTGCTCAGCTGCTCTGGGGCAGGGTCATATGGTGAGCTGCTGCCCACCCCAGGAGCAGCATGTCAGCCACTACTCAGCCCTGGCCCTAACTTTAGCCATTCTCCAGGGCTGGAGCCTTGAGCCGCATTGTGGGTGGCTGCTCTTCCAGGAGCCCTTGCTGGGGTCAGAGCCACAAGTCACGTGGTAGACAGGCAGTGGCAGCTCCAGCAGCCCTGAAAGGGGTGGGAATTGATCCATCCAGGTTGAAGCATCTCTCTGCCAGTGGCATATCAGGCCCCACAGAGCTGGAGGAGCCTGCTGGTTGATTGTAAGTGGTAAGCACCATCCTGTAAGGGTGCTCTTAACCATTCACATCTCTATTTTGAATCAAAGTTTAATAGTTGGGCTTTATTGTTTTATATTGATTTTGTGTGTGTGTGTGTGTGTGTGTGTGTGTGCGTGTGTGCACACATGCATGTGCACATGCTATATTGGTTTTTGTTTTTAAATCATCCAGCTGGTGGCCTTTTTTGAGCTTTTAAAATATTTTACGTAAAAATTCTTAAATTTTAATCAGAATATCTATAATTATTTTTAAATATTTTAATGATAATTTGTTTTATTTTAGTTGCTTTATTATTGAATAAGGGATTGAGGGTGTTTGTTTTGGGTTTCTCTTTTTATTTTCACTTATTTTATGTTTAATATTAATTACTTTAAAAAAGTTGAACTTTATGAAAGCATCAGGACACTGGAGAGTTAACTAACCAAGTTAAGGCTGTCAATAGATGTTCGCTCATGGATAAAAAGTAGCTGTCAGTTTTGCAACTTCGAATAAAATATTTGAATGGCTTTTTAATGGATTTTTTAAAAAGCTGATTTTATATATAATTTTTAAGAAAGTATTTTTTTGAAAATGTGAGGTCTCTTGCTATGTTTATTATGAGACACTAAACTTTTTAAACTTTCTTGGCTTACCTTTTAACTAGCTGAAGTTTTGAACTTTTGTTTTTAAAATTATTTTAGACTTTCAAAGAATTTGGGGGGGCATGTGTGTAAATTGCAAGTTATAAACAAATGACTCATTTAAGTTGCTTACATTTCTAAACTGCTATTCATTTTTATATTTAAGCTTTGACCAAGGTTGTTTTATTTTTTTGACAACTTCAATATTTTAGCAAGGTTTAGCTCAATCTTTTCCTTCCATGTTTCAGCTATCTGATCTTAACTACATTTTTTAAAGTTAAACAATTTAAATGGGATTGTTCTTGTACCTGCTGCAGTCATCACAATTCATTATTTACAGGCTCATTTGTTAGGGAGCCCCCATGTCCTTCAGAATGACTGTAAGGCCTCCCGTGTTGTGTGCGGTGACAAATCACATAGTGCAGGGTGGTCAATAAGCACATTGCAGGACAAATACAGTACATTGACATTTAGGGCCAGTCATCATAATGAAGATTTGTGTGTAAAAGTGCTGATTTAACAGCTCTTTTTAATCTATGTGCCTGGGAAAGATCTGTTTCAGTATTCTTTCTTCCATAACATTTTATATACATACATATGTTTGTTAGTAACTGGTAGGTGCCATGCTGTCACACAGATGAACAAACACATGTGACTTCAATATTGTTGCACAAGACAAAACTCCTTCCACTCACGAATGTAAAATCTTAGAGGGAACACTGGCAGGTAGTGTTCCCTCTAACATTTTCTGTCCTTGAGTGGGTTGAATTTTCTTTTGAGTGGGTTGAAATTTCTTATGTGCAACACCAGTACTGAAGTAGCATGTGGATGTGCACCACCAATACAAAACACACACACACACACACACACACTTTAAACAGTCCATATGTGTGTAATAAAATATATTAAAACAAGACGCCTGTCACTAGTAGCTGTGAGGTTCCCTTAGTGACTACAAAGCTGCTGTATGAAGTTAGGGAATTAGCCTTCTTCCACTTGAGGAAGAGTAGAATCCCCAGAAAAAATTAACACAGGGCTTCAGGGTTTGTAGGCAGATTCATGTTTCAAAGAGCTTGCAAATAAGGTTTGAGCCTACAAAACTAGCATCACACCTAGTACTTACTACTCCTGACTCAGAATAACCAAAACTATATTGCATAGCAAAGCTCTGGCTTTAATGCAATACAGTATACCATGTATTAATTAATAACACAAGATTTTAAAAAATTATTCAGATGAGAATTTTAGATCTCTGCAACACTCCCAAAAAATTCTGTTAAAAGAATCTTTTTCTTTCTTATCTTAAGCCATTAACATCTGTGTAAACATTGTTTGAAATATAATCATGCAAACGTCCTCTTAACAGAGAGGACTGAAGTGAGTCAGGAAACCCCAAACAGGCTGCCCCCTGCCTTCACCTCACTGCACAGATGCCAGCACACATCCACTCCCTCTTTCCCCCCACATTCCCCAAGCAGTTAGCTCCTTACCTCCCCCTTCCCAGTCCAGGAGGGTTGAAGAGACTGCTGGGTTTCTGCCTTTCTCTCCTCCAGCAGACAAGAGTCTCCAAACTCCCCTCCCCTCTGACTTTCCCCAATCCAATTAATTAATTAATTACTCACTCTCCCCCAGCCACTTATTGTATCCTTATCTCAGCTGCTTTCATACTCTGGGGCTATGTCTACACTGGCAGCTTCTCGTGCAAAAACAGATGTTCTTGCACAAAAAAGCTTGCTGGGTGTCTACACTGCACACGCAAGTAAATTTACAGTCCAGCGTCAGAAAACAGAACTTCTTCCGGAAGAGTTATTCCTCTCCCCACAAGGAATAAGCTCTATTGCGCAAGAGCTCTTCCAGAAGAGGCCTGTGTAGACAGGCAACATGAATTTCTTGCACAAGAAACCCCTATGGCTAAAATGGCCATCGGAGCTTTCTTGCTCAAGAGAGCATCCACACTGCCATAGGCGCTCTTGCGCAAAAGTACATCTCTTGCGCAAAAGAACATGCCAGTGTGGACGCTCTCTTGTGGAAGATATTTTGCACAAGAACTCTTCCGCAAAACAGTTCTTGCGCAAGAAGCTGCCAGTGTAGACCTAACCCGGGAGACAGGAATGGCCCATGCATATAGGCCGACTCAGCCTTCGCCTAGGGCGCCGCGTTAAATGAGGCACCCAATGATGAGATCACATCATTGAGAGCTGCATTCTCTCCTGGGGCGCCAGCTGCCGGCAGCTCTCCTCAAGCCACCCCTGCTGGGAGATCAGAAAATAGCTGTGCAGTTTAGAGAGCACTTTGATAGCAGGTGCAGTGGCTTGGGCAAGCTGCTCACGTATGAACCCTCTCAGCCCACCTGGATACATACTTGGGAGGCTACCCTGAGCCATTGCCCCGGTATCTCCAGCCACACTGCTATGGTTAGTGGACGAACTCAAGGTGAGTTAGTATGTGTCTGACTCCTCAAGCTGGAAAGCTCACTCCCACCTGCAGCATAGATGTTTATCCACTCATAGAAATGTGGGGTCAGGTCCTGTCCTGGATTTCATGGGATCAGTGTAGTTGGTGGGTCCCATCAGGATGCAGTAGGATTTCACAGATCTCACAGAGTACAGTAGGATTTGGTGTCTCTGGTCATTTGTGACTCACCGCCACCTCCACCTGGCCCAGGGCGTGGGGAAGTGGACAGGACTGAGGAGTTCACAGCTGGGACATGGTGACTGAGCATGAAGAGGCACCTGTGATGGGTGGGAAGCTCAGTTCTAGGGTAACAGGGAGCTCAAGGTGGGCACTGAAGGGCACTGGCAGAGTTGGGCACATGCACGCAGCCCAGCACTGGGATAGCAAGAATACTCACAGATCATAACTGTGCACATAACCCCAGATTTCAGCTATATGGGTGTGATCAGTGCTGTGCTGTACCCGGCCCATGTGTACGCTGCTGTTGTGCACTAAATGATGCCTGGTTCACACTAAGAAAGTCCTCATCAAATATGACTGTTAATGTGAACTAGCAACCTTTTAATACAACCCTGCAGCATCCACATGGGGAAGGGTTGCAACACCGCACTTTGGTGTGTGCTGCTATTCCCAGTCACCCCTGTAACCTGCACTGTTGGACAGTACAGTCCTGCCCTCCTTTGTGCACTAACTTCACTCTCTGGTGCTAAGGCTGGTACTGAAATGTGAGCTGCCTACGCTGCAGTGTTTGTTTTTTCCACACAGATGATTAAGGGCCATACAGCACATGTGGTGATTTTTCTATCTCATCACAGTGTGAAAGCCCAGATGCACATTTACTAGGGGTTTAGCCAAGTACCTGATTCCAAGGCCTTCCTCTCAGTCTCTGAAATAGGAAGAAAAAAACATTAAATCCGGAAACACACATAGTATGGTGCTATGCACTCTCTAAAGACTGGAGTTAGTCACTGATACCCCAACCACACTCCCAGCCTCAGTGCAGGAGCTGGCAGGTTTGGCAGGGACAGGGTGGGTGATCAGTGACATGCACCAACATGTAAGACTCCTGAGGATTTCTCACCCATTAACCATTATCTACACACATACTTGAGCTGGCTCTAACGAGGTTACAAAACACACCTTGGCTATGTCTATACCGGCGGGTTCTTGCACAAGTAAATTTACAGTCTAGCATTGGAAAACAGGGCTTCTTCTGGAAAGGTTATTTCTCTACCCATGAGTAATAAGCCCTCTTGCAGCTCTTGTGCAAGAGGGCAGTGTAGACAGGCAACATGAATTTCTTGTGCAAGAAACCCCTATGGCTAAAATGGACATCAGAGCTTTCTTGCACAAGAGAGCATCCATACTGCCATAGATGCTCTTGTGCAAAAGCACATGCCAGTGTAGATGCGCTCTTATGGAAGATTTTTTGTGCAAGGACTCTTCTGCAAAACAGTTCTTGCACAAGAAGCTGACAGTGTAGACCTAGACTGGGAGACAGGGGTGGCCCGTGCATATAGGCCAACTTGGCTGTCACCTAGGGTGCCATTTTAAATGGGGCACCCAATGATGACATCACACCATTGAGGGCTGTGGAGGCAGGGGCGCCGATCGTGCATTCTGCCTGGGGCGCCAGCTGCTGACCCTTGCTGAGAGATCAGAACTCTTGCACAAGAACACGTCCACACTGCCATGTGCTTTTGCGCAAGAGCATCCATGGCAGTGTGGACACTCTCTTGCGCAAGAAAGCTCTGATGGCCATTTCAGCCAGAGGACTTTCTTGTACAAGAAACCCCTGCCACATGTCCACACTGCCCTTTTGTGCCAGAGCTCTTGTGCAAGAGGGCTTACCCTTTTAAAAAAGAGCGTAGCTCTTGCACAAGAAGCCATCTCTTCCCACACTTTACTGTAAATCTTGCACAAGAATGGGCGGGCCATGTGGATGCTCTGTGTAGACATAGCCCTTGAGTTTAACTGCACTGGTGCAGCAGGGCCAGTTACTCCAATATTGTTACTAAATATTGAAAGGTTCATAGTAGAATAAATTAAACATGTGAACTTTAAAAACCATTGCTGCTGTGTCTGTTAGTGCAGCTCAAGAGCATGACTGTCCAAGATTCACAAAGTTTCAGGCCAGAAGCTTTGCTCTGACAATTATGCCCTGTTCCCCCAGCACTGAGCCCAGTAACTCAGGCTGGACTACAGCAGATCCCAGAAGGGTGACCAGTCTGGATCTGATGCCATCAGGAGATGGAGAATTCACCACGGCCCTGGGAGTTTGTTCCAATGGCTAGTCACCCCCTGGGCATTCGACAGTCACAGGGATGGAATCAGCTCACAGAGCATCACTGGCCTGGATGTGTCCTTTTCTTTAAGGATAATAGGTCCATTGAGCAATTGCCCAGGGCTAGGAATAGAATCTGACCCAGAGTTGCCACAACAAACCCGTCTTCCTGCCCCGCCCACATGCAGGGAATCTCGCAAGCACAGAGCCCTCAGTGTCCTCCATATCTTCTCAGTGTGAGAATGTAGGAAAGATGAGGAATCACTGGGTAGGCAACTCCATGCTCCATCCCTTTCATTGCCCTGAGCCCGCAGATACACTAGCAGTCACAGAACAGAGCTCACACATATCAACAGAAAGAGACAGAGACAGAGCAGGAGACTTACCACGCATTAAGAGAGTCTCCTCTTCAGACCGTTTCTTTTTAGAGGCCTTTCGCTTTGCTGTGGGACAGAGAATCAGACATTGCCGTGAGGTAGGGAAGGAAGGGCAAACACTGAGCAATTCACTAATACTGGGGGGCCAGGCACCCCAATGTGTTTGTTAGTTTGGTTAAACTCCTAAAACCAATTCAAGGTCAATATCTGAACAATGAGACACTCCCATATCCCAGCCCAGTGCCTTCTAGGGCCAGGCTTTAAACATGCCAATAATGCATTCCCATTACCTGTGTATCCAAGATATGCACAAACTCCAGCAACAATGATATCCAGAGCGAACAGTGCCCAGAATGCAGCCAGCCAGGGAGACACCTGGGGGAAGACATCACCTGGGAAACAGAGAACACAGGGTGTGAGGAGCAAGGGCCTGTCCGGGAGCTGGAGAACATAGTTTGTTCCAGCTACAGCAGATCTCATAGAAAGAGATACCCAGTTTGAATGTAAGGATTTCAAGTGATGGAGAATGGTCTTGCCTAAAAGGGTTAAAGCCATAGACAGCAGGACCTAGAGAGTTTCCAGTAATGCTAGGGAAGCAGGAAGTGAGTTGGCAGGAGTCCAGGAGAGCCAATGGAAACAATTCATATTCTTTTGCATTGGAAGCATTTGTCGTTCTGTTACTGTTGTGTGGCTAGAACAGCCCACGGAAGGACCAGTGAGGGAGACAGACATGGAGAATCCAGTGACATCCATGCCTAGGAAAAGACTATGTTTTGGAACAACAGAAACGTGAGTAGAAAAGGGAATGTTTAGTCAGACATCATCAGGTTATTTTCTTTATTTTGGGGTTTGTTAGACTTCTCTATGCTGAGCACATATAACTACCTCCCTAACATTGTAACCTTCCAAAGGAAGAAATTCTCTGTGTTTTAAGCTGGTTTTTTAGTTGCTTTATATCACCTAGAAACCAGGTAATGTTTCCCAAGTGTGTTTTCTTTTGGTTGATAAAAATCACCCTTTGAAGACCATTATCTGATTCTTGTGTTCTAGAAGATGGGACATTCTGTGCACATGCACCTAAGACTGCATTGTCAAGTTACTAAGAGAAATAAAAGTTTTTAAGCTCTTTCCAAAGGGAGGATTAAAAGAGCCTGAAATACCTCACAGGAAGGAATTTCCAGTGCACCTTCCTGGGTTCTCAAAGAGGTGTTTGCATTTGGGTGGTGGCAGCATTACCAGTGCAAGGCCAGGAAATCAGTGACCTTGAGAAGTTTTAACACAAGCCTTTAGTGGCAAGGTATTTTAAAGTTTCTTGTGGGACCCCACCTTCTGCCCTTGGAGTGCCAGAGTAGGAACAGTCTCGAGAGGTGTAGACACAACTCAGATGATGGAAGAGTTTTTTTCCATCAAACCACCTATCACAGGGGCATATTTATAATTACAGAAAAATGTGCATTGCTGTAGCATTTCTAGTGTAGATACAGTTTGAGTCTCTGTCAATGCAGTTACCTTTATCAACCAAGGACATCATCTGCTCAGAGAATGACAAATGAGTTAATTTCACAAGACTCAGCCCAACTCCTGTCAGCCAGTTTGTCTGGATCACTAAATCCTCAGTCACTCATGGTCTCACAGAACAGGTTAAGGACTCCTCCTGTCTCAGTACTAGAAACAGATGCTGGATGTGACATAGTGGGGGAACCTGGCTGGTTTCTATGTTGCTGGCTCTGGGGTAACCCCCACTGGCTGCCGTGGGTACCACGACCCAGCAAAACAGGATGAGTCACTATGCAAACCAGTATGGCCAGACACCCCCCATGGAGAGGAACAAAGGAAGGTGGATGCTGCCCTGGCTGGGGGGCAGGGCTGGAAGAGTTAGTTGCTGTCTGTGAGCATGGAGGAGACAGCCTAGGGAGAGGGGCTGGAGTTTAGGGGCCCAGTCTCCCCCCAACTCAAGGGGGCCTGAGGCATCCTAGCCCAGCTCTGCGACCAGATTACATCTGTACTGTGCTGTATCCTGGAGAGGCAATAAACTTCCTCTATTCCACCGGCTGGTGCAGTCTGTTTGTGCCATTTCGGGGTGCAGGAGACGGGGGACCCCCAACGCGCCGTCACACTGGACAAATGCATTTCAGTAGTGATTCAGGCCCCCCACTCCTACAGTGACACCTTCTGCACAGGGAGACTCACCAGAAAGGTGAATGACAGACTGTAGCTCCAACTCCAGCTGGCCATTCCGCACTATGCAGCTGATGTCTCCAGTGTCTTCTCCTTCTGTGATAATGACGTGACTCACAGCACTGTACAGGTTCTCCCTATCCTGAGTCATATTGGTCACAGACTCCATCACCAGGTTCTGCTGATTCTTCCTAACCCACTGGAGTTCGGGTTTGGGAAACCAGCCTGAGGATCTACAGGTCAGTCCTATTCCTTGGCCCCTGGGACCTAGCACCTCAACAAGCACTGGAGCCACAGCTGTAGGGAGAGACAGAGAGTGTGTGAGAGGGAATCATGTCTTTGGTAGTGTCATAGGATTCCCCAGCTACCACTAGATATAGGGGGCTATGACTGGAAAGCTCTGTTCCCTTATGTACAGCCGCCTTGGGATCTCTGAGACAGGCTCAGTCCCCCTCGATGCTGAATCCCTGTCTTACTCTGCATAAAGTTTTATCTAGGACATGCTCATGTAGTTTGCCCTCTTTCTGTTAATAAAGAGAGATGCAGAGATACCTTGCCCACTGCCTCCAGGTAACAATTAGCTACACTGAGTTTATGAATAAACACACATGATTTTATTAATTATACAAGGTAAGATTTAAGTGATCATAAGAGATAGCAGACAGAATAAAGTAGACTACTAAGCAAAATAAAACAAAAAACTTGCCAGCTAAGGTTAATACACTAAAGAAACTTGTTACATGTAATATGTTACCCTAACAGTTGTTCTAATAATCACTTTCACAGACTAGACTCACTTCCGGTCTAGGCTCTGTCCTTTCCCTCTTTTCAGTTTCATTTGTTTCCAGTGGATACATTGGATGGCAAAAAGGGATGTCCTGATGACTGACAGTACCTCTGTTGTTTGGCTTCCCACCCTTCTCTAGGTTTTGCAAGAGGCAGGAATCCTTTGTTTTCAGATTAAACTTTCCCTCTGCTCTTGTGGAGAAAAGAATCAGCATCCAAGATGATTTCCAGCATGAGGTGACATAGTCTCATGCTTTTCCAGGGCCTCTTGGAGACCCTCCTCACAGGCTAACAGGAAAAAAAATCTAGTATGGGCTATCAAGTTCCCTAAGTACCATTAATGGCCCTCACTTAGCATGATTGCATTAATAACACAGATAGTCCATGCTCCTAGCTTGATCTACAAAGCTGATACCTATATACAAATGGGAAAAATGTATTCAGTAGAACTTTTCCCAATGATCTCACATGAAGTATTTTGCATAAAGCATATTCCAGTTCTGTCATTCATATGCATAAGCATATTTTCATAAATCATATGGAATGCCCTACCACACTCTCAACTTGCTTGATGATTGGGGAAATCAAACATCATCTTACATTTTCAGAGAGCACTGTGCCCTGCAGACTCAGGGGAATGTTTAAATTGCTACACAGAGATTGCTGCACTTGCTCATGAATTACAGCTACTTCTGGGGTGGAGCCCAGCAGGTGTCAGGATCACTGCATGACAGTACAAAGCAGGAGATGGGGGTTGGTGTTCCTGCCCATATTATTGTTCCCACTCCTCCTGTGCCACCCTCCGGTATCCTTCTCCCACACTGGTAATGATGCCCTAGGACATGTTATGCTCAGCTTTGAGTATGAAGGGAAAGCTCCCCCTACTGAGTCCTGCACATCACTTCCTGCAGCACTGCACCTTACTTTTGTGCTGAACTCAGTGTCGGGGCACTGCCAGGGATACAGGAAGCTCTGGCTGGTCATGCCCTGTGACCCTTAGTGCCATGTCTCACCTGCCACCCGTAGTTCAATGGTGGCTTCCCGGCTCCACTCTGGGTTTTTCACAAAGCACTGGTATCTCCCATTGTCCATTACTTGGAGCCATTTCAGCTTCAGGGAGACGTTGCCGCTGATAAACTCCTGTGGGAACAGCTCTGTCCGGTTCTGGTAATGCTCCCCTGGCTGGTTCTTGGTACCCTCATCTGAGTACTCATGAACCGGGATAAATCCTGATCCAATTTTCCTCCACCACACGTGCATCCTGGGTACTTGATTCGGGGGTGAGAGCTGGCAAGGTAACACCACATCCTGGCCCACTACCCCCACCACAGGGTGCGGGGAGCCAGATAGGGAGAACTTCTCTGGAAGAGACAAACCCAAGTGCACAATGAGTGAGAGGAAAGAGGTGAGAGTGTCGCTGAGCCAGGGCCCAGCAGTTACAGACACAGTGAGAGAGAGGAGAGGGTGTTACAGCACCAGATAACATTCCTGTGATCCTGCATCGCTTATAGCAGAAAGTTCCTTAGGCTGAGCCATATGTAGTGCTATTGAGTTACTCTCAGTGTGGATGCAGGGCAGTGCAGCCATTCCACAGCTGGCACAAGCTAGTCCTCCAATGCTGTCCTACAATGCCCAGGAAAATCCTCCAAAGGTGCCTGTCTTGCACCCTACCTGCACTCTATTGCCAAGGGATGACCTCAACTGGAAGTCACCTGCACGGCTCCATGGCACCCAGTCACAAGGCATTTCCATTGCAAGCAGCTTCTATGACAAACTGGTTTGAGATCCATATAGCCCTGTCTTGGCTGCTGATTGGTCACCTCAGACGCTGCTACCTGGCCTTTGAGCCCAGGCACGTCCCTATCCTGGATTCAGTTATTCAAAACAGAACCTGCCTAAGGTGGGGAGTCACCGTTCTGGATCAGTGTTGGAAGGAAAGGAAAGGTCCAATATGAATTCTGTTTGCAAAATAGCTGTGTCTGGAGAGGCTCTGGTGCCATTCCTCTCACTAGGAGTTTTGGTTTGTAAATCTGATTTCTGAAGCCTGGCTCGTGGTGTTTGAAGGCTTCATCCCAATGGGGCTGGCTTCACCCCCCAGCCATCAGGCAACTGGGAAGATCTCAGCCTTGCACACCATAGGAATCAGGATCCCAGTGGGGAAGGACTATCAGCATAGGAGCTTTGAGACCCATAGTAGGGCAGGAAGGTGCTGGGAGCTCTGGGTGCCTCTCTCGGACAGCAGGAGCTGCGTGACTTCCTGCAAGATCCCCAAATTTTGCCATCCAGAGCTAGGAAATGCCCTGGTTGTGTAAAGATAAGACGTATTTCAAGGCCTAAAACCTAAGGCCTTTGTGTGCAGACAGACTGAAAGAGCAGCAGCCATTAGTTGAGAAGCAGGAAGTCACATCCTCACATCCCATCTAAATTGCAATTACAATAGTGTCACCTCAGACTGTTAAGAATGAGACTCCCTCCTAAAGGCGCTCACTATCGTTAGACAAAGAAATAGATTTCAACATGGTTAAAGTAAACTTAGTCTGACAGCATTTTGTCTGGCAAAAAGCCATGCACCAATAGTTGGAATTGTTGAAATCCTCATTCCTTTAGTCTATCATTATGTTTTCTACTTTTCCCTATTGTTTGTCTGCATGATCTCTGTCTGGTTTTTAATTGTTTCTCTCTGCAATCTAATTAATTTTGCTTGGTGAAAATCTGTTAAAGTGGTGAGGTATGATTGGTTAGATAATTCTGTTAGGGCTGATTAATAAAATTTTAGTGAAATAATTGGTTATGGTCTAACTAAGCAGGATTCAGGTTTCATTATATAAACTGGGTCCCAAAGAGAAATTCTCTGGGAACTAATGACAGGACACAGCACCAAGATCAGAGCTACCGATCTCAACTCTGTGCCAATGATATTGTGAAGAAACTGGAGTCCTCCAGATAGACCTGATCCTGACTGACCATCAAGAAAAGTTCTGTCTCATTGGGGGTATGTCTACACTACCCCACTAGTTCGAACTAGCGGGGTAATGTAGGCATACCGCACTTGCAAATGAAGCCCGGGATTTGAATTTCCCGGGCTTCATTTGCATCAAATATATACACATTTCAAAAACTGTTTCTTTAAACACACTGACAATAGCCAAGGTAAAAGTTATAACTGAGCAATATATTTTCCAACCTGTCTCTTTTAAACCACTTAACAAACAGTGAGGGTAAATTAAATACTTATGAACTCAGCAACAACAACACAAAGATATACAAGGAACTGGCGCAAGCTCGAGATTGGTACACCCCTTTTGAGATTGGTACACCCCTTCTGAGATTGGTACACCCCTTTTTAAATTCGGTGGGTGGGAGTCGGCCTTTGGGTGATCAGTCCTAAGCCAGACTCAGATTCTGTCTTCCAGTATTCAGTTCTCCCTGGGTATGTCTACACTACCCTCCTAGTTCGAACTAGGAGGGTAGTGTAGACATACCCATGGAGTGGTGAGCATTATGTACTTAATGTTTGCATTCTACTTTTTTTTTTTGGTGATTGATAATAAATAGTGACTAAGTGGGATATAACTGGGTAAGGCTCTTTGATTGGTAAATGTCCACACAAGCCCAGAGAGTGAAAGGAGAGTGCCTGATCCCTGTCAGAAAGGGTCACTACCTAGCTGGCAGAATGACAACTCCAGAACAACAAGAGAGAAAGGGAACAAAGAAAAGGGGCCAGGAGGGATGGAGGCTAGCTGACGAGCTCACTGTCCTTGCTAAATAGTTAGCGGGACAAAGCTTGTGTCCGTGTGAAGGGACAGTACAGCGAGGAAAGCAGGACTGTGCTCAAACAAGCAGGCAGGCCACAGACAGACAGATTGGAAAACAGGTTGAGAGCCCTGAGGGCAGAGTGGCAGTAGTAAGGAAAGGAGACAAAGCACATATAGGCTTGGGAAATTCAGATCCTTGTGAATGGTGGTGGCTTTTACTCTGCGGGTCTGAAGATGTCTGGGAGGGGAGGGCTCTGCAGGGGACAGTGCACAAGGCGACAGGGAGGGAAATAATGGGGATTGAAACGTTACCAGAGACAGCACACGGCACCAGGAGGAGGATCCCCAGGCTACACACAACAGCTGCCATTGCGTTGCCATGGGAACATCCCAGGCAAGTACCTGTCAGGAGAGAGCAGGGATGGTTAACACCCCCCAGCTTGGGTGAGGGGCCAGCAGTGCAGGGAACACATCCCACCCATCGTCTGACCCCACCCCCTCTGCTCCCAGGTAAAGCATCTCCCCAGGGACAGGAGAGGATTCACCCCTCCCAGGCTTCTTTGTCCCTGGCCCAGGCCTGGCACCAGGATTTTATACCACGGGTTGTGCCATGTATCCACCCTGATTTCCTCCCCTTGTCAGTTCTCTGACCGCCCATTGGTGCAGGTTCCCCCCCACCCTGATTCCAGAGCAGGGTGAGTCTGCAACAGAACAGGGTCATTTCCAAGGGAACCGCAGTGGTACCCACACCACTATCCCCCCACAGAAGGGGACTGTCCCTGTGCCTGCCTCCACCTTGGACTGTAGGGCAGGGCTACGTCTACATTGCCCCTTCTCCGGAAGAGGCATGTTAATTTCCAACTTCAGAATAGGGAAATCTGCGGGGGATTTAAATATCCCCCGCGGATTTAAATAAACATGTCCGCCGCTTTTTTCCCAGCTTGGGGAAAAGCCGGAAAAAAGCGTCTAGACTGGCACGATCCTCCGGAATAAAGCCCTTTTCCGGAGGATCTCTTATTCCTACTCTCTTATTCCTGATTTTAAGTAGGAATAAGGGATCTTCCAGAAAAGGCTTTATTTTCCGAAAGATACCTGTCTAGACTGGCACTTTTCTCCGGCAAAGCCCCGAGCCGGAAAAAAGCGGCAGCCATATTCATGCAAATGCCGTGGGGAAAATTTAAATCTCCGGGGCATTTGCAGTTCTGAAGTGTCTCATTATCATTCCTTTTCCGGAAAAGGGTGCCAATGTAGACACAGCCTCTGAGTTGTTGCACATCTCAAGTTAATGAATTCCTGCCCCTGCAGAAACAGTTTCCCGGCTTGTATGTGCAGGACCCACCACAACAGGACCCTAGTCTAAGTCCAGATCCCCAATGGGGTCTATGCTATGCCCAGCATAGTGGGGCTCTGATCTCAGTTGTGATCTGGGCAGCATCTGGAAAGAGGGGGAGCCCAGCTCACTTGAGGCCTCTAAATGCTACTGTAACATCCACAATAACAGCAACCAGGGAGGCACCTTTCATTCAGATCTCTGAGGCAAATGACCCCCTCTCCCTCCACACACACACACTTCTGGCCTGGTAAACCCTCCACCTAGGATGTTAGTGGGGCAGGGTGGGACAAGGCTGTGTGGGGCAGGGTGGGACAAAGGCAGCAAATCACCCGTGTGCCTCATCCTACCCTCCAGGGAGAGGCCCCAAAGAACCTCAGCATTGATGGAAGGTAGGAATAGGCCCTAGGACAGGAGAGTGAGCACCTCTCGCAGTGAAGGAAAGGGGATAATAACAGCGAGGGACCTACCTTAAGGACTCAGCATGTCAGGTAGCGAACCAGTGGTCCCAGCCCCACACCATGCTGGACTGATGTGCTGGGGCAGGTGGGGAAATGGATTCTGGAGCAGTGTGTGAACCCTGACCGGGGAAAGTGAAAGCACCTGGCCACCCGTCACACATTAACCTGGTATCTGGCCAGGACCCAGGCCAGGTGTTTGGTTACACTGCCACACCCACCCCTGCCCTGCAGGGCTCATGTCTGCATGTCTGAGCTGTTCCTCCTGTGTCACCCCCCACTCACTGGCTGTGTCTAGACTGGCAAGTTTTTTCCAGAAAATCATCTGCTTTTCTGGAAAAACTTGCCAGCTGTCTACACTGGCCTCTTGAATTTCCGGAAAAGCACTGACGATCTCATGTAAAATCATCAGTGCTTTTCCGGAAATACTATGCTGCTCCTGTTCGGGCAAAAGTCTTTTTCCGAAATACTTTTGCGCAAAAGGACCAGTATAGACAGCACAGTACTGTTTTCCGCAAAAAAGCCACGATCGCGAAAATGGCGATCTGGGCTTTTTTGCAGAAAACCGCGTCTAGATTGGCCACGGACACTTTTCTGCACAAAGTGCTTTTGCGGAAAAGCGTCCTGCCAATCTAGACACGATTTTTCCAAAAATGCTTTTAACGGAAAATTTTCCGTTAAAAGTATTTTCAGAAAATCATGCCAGTGTAGACATAGCCACTCAGTGTTAGTTCTAGGACCAAGCAGGCTGCACATTGGGACACAGCAGAGGCTACTCAGTGTCACATGCAGTTTTGTGTAGCTACGCAGACTTTACGGCCATACGAGATGTTAGATTATCCAGTATGGCCCCCCTGCATATTACAGGCCTCTTGTATGGCACAGTAGTGAGTTTTGCACCAAAGCACACTCCAGAAAGGCATCTGCTCTTCACTGGGAGATATCAAGAGATGGAGAAAGCACCACTTCTTTTGGTAGTTTGGGGAAAATTGCAGCAATGAGGGAAAGGGAAGAGACCCCAAGGCCACACTTGTGAGTCTGTATCACAACACACATGCACCACAGCACTGCACTAGGCTGTGCACCAGTGATCCCCAACCATGGAACAGCAGCCAAGTTCTCTTTTGTAATTTAAGTGGAACCCAAGATCTACCCTGTCCCTTCCCAAATCTCCTGTTCCTTCCCCAAATCCCCCCCCCCCATTCCATTCCCCCTCTTAGTTGTTCTCTGTCAACCACCTTACTCACTTTTACTAGTTTGCAGGATGGGCTTGGGGTTTGGGAGCGGGCATGGAGAAGATATAGGGTGCTGAGACTGAGAGGGGAGTCATGACTGGAGAAGGTGCTTGGGGTGCAAGACAGTATTCAGGGTGCAGGAGGAAGTATGGGGTGCTGCTCTGAGAGGTGGTTCAATGTTGGGGTGGGATTTTGGGATGATAACTCTGGGAGCAGACTCATCTAGGGCTTGGGGTTCAGAAGGGGATATAGGGTGCTGGCTCTGGGAAGGGGTGTCAGACTGGGACAGAGGTTTGGGGTGCAAGAGAGGTTTGGGGCCTTTGGCTTAGGGAGGGGGGTTTGGTTGGGTTAGAGATTCAGGAGGGGTTCTAGCTTTGGGTGGGTGTTCAAGGCTGGGCCTGGTTGCTGAGGTGCAGGGGGGTTCAGGGTGCTGGAGGGGTATGGATGCTGGCTCTGGGAGGGGAGCCAGAGATGTAGGAGGAGGTGCATTTCAGCCCTGAATTTTGTGGATTGTCTCAGCAGTGGTACACAGGGGTGTCTTCTTGCCATAGGGATTGTCAGCCTTTGAGTGGTAGAAATGACCCTTGTCTTCAGGTCTCATGGAGGGGGTTGTGACGTAGTGTGGGTACCTTGCTGGGGCTGTGGATGACCTCTGCTGTCTGTAGCACGACCCAGCAGGGCAGGGGGTGAGTCATTATGCAAAGGGGGCTCCAAACCTGTCTGACCAGCTACCCCCCAGGGAGAGAAACAAAGGAAGTTGGAATGCTGCCCCTGGCTGGGGGGCAGGGCTGGAAGAGAGGGAGTAAGTCTCTGTCTGGTATCATGGAGGAGACAGCCTAGGCAACAGGCTGGGATTGTAGGGCCCAGCCACCCCCCATCTCAAGGGGGGACACTGAGGCCTCTTAGCCCCAGTCCCTGTAACCAGATGACATCTGTGCTGTGCTGTATCCTGGAGAAGCAATAACCTCCCTCTATTCTACTGGCTGGTGGAGTCTGTCTGTGCCACTATGGGGGTGCAGGAGACGGGAAAACCCCAACGCGTTGTCACAGGGGTAAATGAAGATAATAGCTCGGAAGGAATCTTCAGAGCACAGGGAAGGAGAGGTGATATTGTTCCAGTTTGTGGTGGTTTGTATGTGCCAGGCTCAGTGCCTGAATGGTGGCCAACATTAGGTATCTCCTGTTACTGTGCCAGACTCAATCTGATGTTGTCCCACAGTGCTTTGCCACCCCGTTTTTCTATAGCCCTGCTAAAGGAAGGATGCTTGCGTGTGTTACTGGTGTGCTGGGTCAAGGTACAGCAGGCAGCAGGAGAAAGAGAAAAGAGGTGTTACAATGTCAGACACACAAGGAACATTGGGGGCTGGCAGTATGGGCTGAGAGAAGGTGGAAATTGATCTCTCAGCAGTGGGTGAGAGATGACAGGTGTGAGGAAAGGCCATGAATAGTCTTAAGTAAGACAATTAATTTACACTGGATGCATTTTAGTTACTAATTTTCTGGCCTTGGGACAGCAATGCCCTTGTAGCTGTGATAGCTGCCTGGTTAAGGCATTGGACTTGAAATTTAATTGAGTTTCCCTGTGCAGGTTCAAATCCTGTTTATAGCTACAGCCTAATTGACTGGCTGTGCTGGGGAGTCCCATGCTGTCCTGCTTCAGAATTGCTACTGAAAAGGATTTGCAGATGGATGGAACTATGGCCCTCTGCTTTGGGTGCTGATGAATTTTCTCCTTGCTGTGTAGTGGTGAACTGTAGGAAGCCATGTGCTTGCTGCATAAATCTAGAGAGGACACCAGAGAGGCTGTGGAGATTGAATCCATATAAACCCTCTAGGGTGGGAGAAGTGTGAGGAAAATGGAATCTTTGGGGCTCTTGGGCGGGAAAGAACCGGTTTAGTCCAGTTTTGCAGTGGTCAGTCCTGAGGAAAAGCCCACCAACACTGACAGCGCCAGAGGTCACAGGCTCCATTTTGATCGTCATAGACTCCATTTTGATTTAATTAACAATCCTCTCATAAAAACATTCCAGCACCACTGTCCATTCTGCAATATAACTGCCCCTACTATCACAGCCCCTCCCTTTCTGTTGGATGAAAAACCATCGCTTTCCATGTACAACTCATTGTCCTAGCACAGTCAAACCCTGATCCGTTAGGATAAGAAGAAGCAGAATACCAAATTTGGTGGTTCTAGCTCTTACCGTTTAAGAGGAGTTCTTGAACAAACAGACTCACAGACAGACCCCCCCCCCCCCCCCACACACACACATACACACATACTCTCAATTATATAGTAGATAAATATAGGAGGGATCACCGTATTAATCAGTATCTGCAAAAAACAACATGGAGTCTGAAGATTTATTTTGGCACAAGCTTTCATGGGTAAAATCCACTTGCATCCAATGAAGTATTTTTTAGCCACAAAAGCTGATGCTTAAATAAATCTTTTAGTTTTTAATGTGCCATGAGACTCCTCATTGTTATAGTTGGACCCACAAACTCCACTGAAAGCAAGTAGACAGGGTAGCTACTTTAAAAAAATAATAATGAAGTGACCTGCACGGTCTGGGAGAAGCTTAACCACAAGAGAAACAGTTGTTTTCCTCTAGCTCTGAATTATTTTGCAGCAGGTTAGTGCTGCTGTTAACTTCCCAAGAAAGACATATGACCTGTGTTAGTTATTTAAAAAAAAGAGAAAAAAAACCTTCTTTCATGATAATTGCATGCCTCAAATGTTATTCAATTGTCGTCAATTTTTGTCACCAACTCTCATTTTATTGCAATTCAATAATAAAGTAAAAGCTATCCATATTTTACTGTTCTAGGGTTTTGTATTTTTTTGTAATAGGGATTTCATTTATATCCTTCATACTAATTAATTAATTAGCCGATAAAGTAATTCTAAAGTCCAGCAAAGAAGAAAAAAAACTTCCATGAATTCCTCTTAAAAGATTCTGTAAACAAGAGAAAAATATTTTTGGAATGCTTTTCACTCAGCAAACTACATCAAGTTAATTAACAAGGATTCTAATTAAGGTGAATGCACTATAATATATGTCTCAATGTGAAAACTATCCAGTTTAAATGAATTTTTAAAAATTAATATTTATATTCAATCAAACTAAAATATATAAATTATGCAATAGTTTTTTAATTTAGTAAAAATTAGGCTATTGCTTTTATCATTATCCAATTTTATAAAGTTAATTTTTCAAAAAAAGTTCATTCATTTTATTCTTTTTAAATGTAACTGTATAAAGGTTAACTCTCTGCAATCCTTGCAGTAAATCTCCAAATCACTAAATTGTGGGTCTCCACATGCTGTTGTATAAAAATTGTGTTACAGCACTAGCAGAGGGGTGGATTTTTCCCACTCCAAAGTTACCTGACAGCCTCTTTGGGACAGGGGCTGTGATTTGCTCTCTGTTTGTACAGCTCCCAGCACAATGGGGCCCTGACTTGGTTGGTCTCTAGGTGCTATCCCAACAGAAATGGTAAATCATAGTAATGCAGAGTGTTTACATGAAAGGTCTTATCTATTGTTCATTTTTTGGTTTTCTGTTGCTAGTTTCCCTGACTCTTCAGTCAGGTGAGCCACAGGATGACTGGCCAGAGAACAGAGACTGAGGCTAATCTGTGTGGGATACTGGGTTGTTTCCCACTGTGGAAGGACCCCTCCCCCTTTGGATTGTCTCATGTATACACAGGTCATTGAGTAATACACACTTTGGGTATTTGGGGGTCCTTCCTCATAATTTTTGTGCCATTTGAGTTAGCAGTGGAATCTCAGCACTGAGTGGACCCGGGAGCTGAGCTGTGGACACAAAGAGTCAGAGGGCAGGAACACAGAGTTGGAGTACTTTCCCGAATTTTACTGAGAAGAAACATTTTTCTGGCACCATTTTGGGTGCTGAACATTGTCCAGATGTGGCCCACTTAAGATCTCCAGTTTCCTTGCTGCACAGATGCAAAAGCTGCCTCTTATTTGGGTGCAGGGGGAGGATTATTCTGGCTACACACAGATGAGCCCTGCATGTCAGCAACCGGAGCATTACTGACACCTGTCCTGCTGCAGAGCGATGGCCGCATATGTTGGATTCTCTTCTTTTCTCTGGGACCGTGGATGCTTCTATAAACACAGAAATGTTACTTTTCTGCTCAGCCAGCCAAGAGTCACAGAAATGAAGCCAGAAAATGTCTGACAGACAGCCCTGCTCTACGTACAATGGAGGCAGTTCTACGAGTTTTTGAGTTGGGAAACACCAGCGACCCCACTTCCTAGATAAACCCCTCTGAGGCGGGTAGCTCAGATTCCCCCTCCCTCACCCTTGGTCAGGCCCTTTCCTGCTCCCTAGTTAGGACAGCTGGGCTTTGCGCTGCCACCTGCCAACTGGGCAGAGGAGATCTTCTCCTTCTCATGGAGCTGCCCCATGGAGGTAATGCCAGATTTTTCATCAACGGGATATTATTATCTGATATAAGAATTCTTCTGTCCTGCAGGCAATGTCATTTTTCCTGCCCACTTTCATATTTTAATCACTGATGTTATTAACGGTGATGTTTATAATGACTATGGGCAATTTTTAGTATCCTATTGTTATCCTGGAGATTGCAGGGTGTGTGGGTGCGTGTGTCTGTGTGTGCGAGGAAAAGCTGAGAGAGAGAGTGAGAAAGCATAAATAGTGAGTAAATAAAGACAGCTATGACATAGCTGGCATCACAGACTTGGTAGGATAATACTCATGACTGGGACTTTGACACAGAAGGGTACAGCTTGCTCAGGAGGGATAGTCAGGGGAAAAAAGGAGGAAGTGTTGCCTTATATATTCAAAACTAGAAGCATTTCAGCCAGCATTGCCCCAGAGGATAGAAATGGGGTCCGTGTAGATCAGCCAGCCACAGCCACACTGTTCGACCCAAATGTGCTGGAGTAGGGGCAGGCTGTGGGGCTCCTGTGGTGGGGATCAGGGCCCCCGTGTATCTCCTGAAGGTGGGTGTGACAGTGGGGCTCTCCCTCCCCCCATTCTGGTACCAACTTACATGGGCCAGTGTCAGGCGAGATGGCAAGCCCTGTCCCCTGCTGGCCACTCCCTTTGTGGTGTGGCTGCCCCAGTGGCCACTCTGCACTATAAGGGTACGTCTACACTACAAAGTTATTTCGAATTAACTTTAATAGCGTCTACACAGCCAAACCGCTATTTCGAAATAAATTCAAAATAGTGGAGCACTTATTTTGAATTTGGTAAACCTCATTCTACGAGGAGTAACACCAAATTTGAAATAGCTATTTCGAATTAAGTGCTGTCTAGACACTTAATTTGAAATAGGGGGCCTCCAGCCCTTCCCAGGGAGCCCTGGTGGCCACTCTGGGCACAACCAGGAAAACTTACTCTCA